CCATCCACCCAGTCCATCTATCCACACATCCATCCACCCATCCACCATCCATCCATCCATCCAATCAATGCATCCATTCACCCACACATCCACTCACTCATCCACCATCCATCCATCCATTCACCCAATCCATCCATCCGTCCACCCAATCCATCCATCTATTTACACATCCATCCCGCCCAATCCATCCATACGTCCATCCACCCATCCACCATCCTTCCATCCATCCATCCAGACATCCATTCATTCACCCAATCCATCCATCCATCCATCCACTCATCCATCCATCCACCATCCAGCCATCTACATATTCATCTATCCATCCACACATTTATCCATTCACCCATCCGCCATCCATCCATCCATCCACCCACCCACACATCCATCCATCAATTTATCCATCCATCCATCCTTCCATCCACCCATCCATCTATCCACCATCCAAACGTTCATCTATCTATCCCCCATCCATCCATCCATCCATCTATTCCTCACTTGCTTCTTCATTAATTCAGCACTTTCTGGTGCCTCCTCTGTGCCTGCCACTGTGCCAGTACTTTCTTCTGGCCAGTTTTCTGGCAAGTGTTAACATTTATCTTCTTTGCTGTGGCTCTTTCAAAACACGGGCAGGTAAATGTTGCCTGACGTGTGAGGACACGTATCACCTGGGGGCAGGGGCACACAAATAACTCCTGGGGGCCTGAAGATGAGTGTGTGTGTGGGACTTGGTGATGTGAGTGCTTTGGGCAGGGCTCTGAGTCCAGCTTTGGGGTGGAGACAGCCCTGCTTCAAGCACATACTTTGGCCAAGCTCTGAATCCCACTGCTGGTTCCAGATCCACAGATAGGGACCTTGGTCTGAGGCTTGTCTAGAAGGGTCCCAGCCTCAGCTGCCCCCATAGCCAGTGGGCAGGCATGTTTGGGAGGGTGGGGAGACTCGGGAAGGGCAGGCCCCGCCGGCTGCAGTCGAATGTGAGCATGAGACCTGGCGAACGTGGGACTGTGCAGTAGAGGTGTGATTTCTCAGGAGAACATGCAGACGTGGACTTTAAATGCCTGGTCTTTATATATTAAATTAACTTCAAAAGTTAACATGCGCTGAGCCTACAACACAGAGGATGTCTTGGGCTGGATGCTATTCATGGTCAGCCTCCACCCTCAGAGCGGAGCAGCAGAACCCGCATGGCTGGCAACCAGTGTGTCATTGCCAGGCTTGGTGGTGCAGCTGGTGCCCTCAGACCTCAGGGCCCACTGGGCTCGCCCCCAGCCCTGCCCCCAGCCACAGTACTCCAGGGACCAGTAGTAGAAGACTTTTCGTGCCAGGCTCCTGGGTCCAAGGATTGTGTGCTGCCAGCTTGCGGATGGCTGCAGTGGAGCCCTGGGCCTCTCCGAGCCTCCTGTGCCCATCTGCATGGTAGCGGCACTGGCTGCAGTTTCCACCCTACAGCGGCCATGACCTCAAACATAAGTCACATCCCATCACTGCCCTCATAGGCACCGCCCAGCCTTGCCCATGGCACCTATCACCAAGTTCAAAGTCTCCACTCAGCCGGAGCCCTGCATGAGTCAGCTCTAGCCACCTCTCCTGCGTCTCCTGTCACCTCCCCACCCCTCTGCTCCTGGAGCCCGTCCAGCAGCTGCTGCCTCAGCCTCTGCACCTGCTGGCCCCTCTGGTGTGTGTTTCTGGCTCCGCATTGCTCAGGTCCCAAGGGGCCTCCCTGCACAGCGTAGTCACCCTCAGTCAGTCACGCTCCCTGCTGGATTTTCATCAGCAATCCCTTTTCTGAAGTTGTCTGGTTCCATGGTTGATTTTCGGGTTCAGCATTGGACTTCCTTTGTGAGGATGTCATGTGGGAGGGAAGGCGCTGTGTCCTTGTTCTTCACCTTTCTCGTCCTAAGGCCTGACACACACTGGGAGTTCATTTTTTATTTTTTTGTATATATGTATATTTTTAGTAGAGACTGGGTTTCACTCTGTTGGCCAGGCTGATCTTGAACTTCTGGCCTCAAGTGATCCACCCACCTCGGCCTCCCAAAGTGCTAGAATTACAGGTGTGAGCCACTGCAACTGGTCTAATTTTTATCTATTTTTTTGAGACAGGGTTTTTCTCTCTTGCCCAGGCTGGAGTGAGTGATGCAATCATAGCTCACTGCAGCCTCGACCTCCTGGGCTCAAGCGATGCTCCTACCTCAGTCTCTCGAGTAGCTGGGGCCACAGGTGCTTGCCACCATGCCCAGGTGGCATTTTTTTTAAAAATTTCTTGTAGAGACAGAGTCTTGCTATGTTGCCCAGGCTGGTCTCAAACTCCTGGGCTCAAGCAGTCCTCCTGCCTGGGTGTCTCAAAGTGCTGGGATTACAGGCATGAGCCATTGCACTCGGCCTACACTAGGAGTTCAATAAATGTTTCTTGAATGTTCCATACATGCTTATGAGGTCTGGCCTTCAGACTTGGCATTAAAGCACCCTGAGATCTTGGTCAAGAGCCTGTTTCTTCGTCTATCAGGTGTGGCTGAAGGTCCCCACCTGTGCCCTCCCAGGCTCTGGGAGGACCCATGGAGACAACAGGGCAGAGGGAAGGGGTTCCCACGGTGCCGATCCTGGGTACCATTCTCGCTGGGCCCTCCCTACAGGATCGAGAATGTGGGGCCCAAGCTTTAGGAGGATGCCCCTGACCGAGGTGGCAAGGCGCTGTGCTGAGGAGAGCCAGCACAAGGGGGCGCCCGAGGCCTGCTGCAGGTCAGAAGAGGCTCTGCCTTGTCCTGGCGGTGAAGGGAAGGTGGGCCACGCCGAGGGCCGCACAAGGACAATGTCCCCAGTCCCAAGCGCCGACTGCTTTGCTGATATTTTGGTGTTAAATACGTTCTTTTGTGAAGTGATAGTGATTATAGGTGGTGGTTCTAAAGACATGTCCCCACTTGCCCAGATGAAAACATTGGCAACCCAAGGTCAGTCTCAAAAGGTTTTGGAGAAATTTGGGGTCCATGAAATCCTAAATACTAGTCTCTTGGGTTGTGGGATCAGAGGTCGAGATATGGGGTTCTTGGAAGAGCCTGCTGAGAAAATGTGACCACAATCCCTCATCCCAACACACACACACACACACAGGAATATGTGGCCCATGTGTGCATATACACAAGCACACGAAAACACACCAGCACATATGCATACACACACCAGCAAATATGCACATACACACACCAGCACATATGCACACATGCCGGCACATATGCGCATACCAGCACATATGCACATACACACACTAGCACATATGCACACACACCAACACATATGCAAATACACACACCAGCACATATGCACACACACACCCCAGCACATATGCACACACACACACCAGTACATATGCACACACACCAGCATATGTGCACAAACACGAGCACATATGCACACACATCAGCACATATGCACACACACACCAGCACATATGCACACACACCCCAGCACATATGCACACACACACACCAGCACATATGCACACACACCCCAGCACATATGCACACACACACCAGCACATATGCACACACACCCCAGCACATATGCACACACACACACCAGCACATATGCACACACACACACCAGCACATATGCACACACACCCCAGCACATACGCATATGCACACACACACCCCAGCACATATGCACACACACCCCAGCACATATGCACACACACACACCAGCACATATGCACATACACACACCAGCACATATGCACACACACCCCAGCACATATGCACACACACACACCAGCACATATGCACACATACACCAGCACATATACATATACAGACACAGGCAAAGGCAAACAGGCGTGTGAACCCTGGGGTGATGCACACTGACATGGTTTGGCTCTGTGTCCCCACCCACATCTCATGTCAAATTGTAATCCCCATGTGTTGTGGGTGGGACCTGGTGGGAGGTGGTTGAATCATGGGGCGCATTTCCCCCATGCTATTCTCGTGATAGTGGGTGAGTTCTCAGGACATCTGATGGTTGGAAAGTGTGGCACGTGCCCCCTTTGCTCGCTCTCTCCTGCTCCAGCATTGTGAAGACGTGCTTGCGTCCCCTTTGCTCTCTGCTATGATCATTAAGTTTCCTGAGACCTCTCAGTCATGCCTCCTGTCAAGCATGCAAAAGTGTGAGTCAATTAAACCTCTTTTCTTCGTAAATTATTCAGTCTCAGGTAGTTCTCTTTATTTATATTTTTTTGAGGTGGAGTCTCACTCTGTCACCCAGATTGGAGTGTGATGGCACGATCTCGGTTCACTGCAGCCTTTGCCTCCCAGGTTCAAGTGATTCTCTGCCTCAGCCTCTCCAGTAGCTGAGATGACAGGTGTGCACCACCATGCCCAACTAATTTTTGTCTAACTTTTTTTTCAGTAGAGACGGGATTTTGCCATGTTGGCCAGGCTGGTCTTGAACTCCTCCAGAAATCCACCCCCCTTGTCCTCCCAAAGTGCTGGGATTATAGGTGTGAGCCACCACACCCGGCCTCAGGTAGTTCTTTATAGCAGTGTGAGAATGGATAATACATACACAAACCATGCAAACACATAAACACAAGCATTCACAAGCACGCACACACTGCATACACACGTGCATGCACACATAGACATACACACACATGCATATATGCACACGTGTCCACATGCACACACACCGGCACCCATATGCACATACAAGCAAATACAAATGCATACACACGTGATGCACACAAACATGTAAACACACAGGCACATGCACACAAGCAAATGTGAACAGGAGTGCACATGATACATGCAAAACAAATGCAAATGAATAGGCACACACGTGTGCATGCACAAATGCACACACGCACAGAGAGACAAAGTCCCAAGAACATTTAGAGCCATGCACAGGCCGGCACCAAAGGAAAGAGACGCCTGGCAGTCAGTGCTGAGTTTGCAGGGTCCACTGGACTTTGGGGACGGCCTGTGAGTTTCCCAGGCGGACTCAGGCAGACAGCATTCAAGTGGGAAAAGTGTCGTATATTCAAATTTATTTAGATGAATGTCCAGCCACAGTCTTCTGTGGATTTGTGTACATTCACTTTTTTAAAAAACGGTTTCCATAAAAGGATTTTTGGTAATCGCCTAATTTTTAATACAGTATTTATATACAAAACTCATTTCAAACTACTTACTGTACAAGAGAAAAGAGAAGCATCAGATTGCATGATTTTAGCAAATAATGGAAATCTATGACACCTATGAACTTTGATCACAGTTGGCAGATTAAAGGGAATGTCAACATCACATCAATGATGTGTTCGAGACAAATATATTTCTGTTTTTCCTCTTGGCCTTTGCTAAAATGATGTTTCTCTCGGTGCTCGAGAAATTTCAGAGAGTTGTTTAGTATCATTGCTGCAAATTTAGATCACTCATATCATTTATGAGACTTGGTTTATACACTTTTAAAATAATTGTCCAACAGTGACATTCCTATGAGTAAAAATATAGAGAAATGTTACCAAAATAGAAGGCTTTATTAATAAAATTCTTTGGTAGTAACAGTATTTTAAATTCCTCTCAACGCTATTCGGTTAACTAATAAACTCCCTCCACCTTTGAGCTGCAGAAAAAAATATCCTCAATCTACCATATAATTGACACTTGAAAAAAAAACCCATAAATATTCTAAAGCTTCCAGGGGACCCCTGGAAGCCCTAAGACTTCTTGAAACCCTGACACCATCTGTTTTAATGCTTCCGAGGTCCTCTCTCTCTGCCCATTTTCTGGTCAACTGGTTTTGTCCCATAAGGAAGACGACCAACTCTGAGGTCAGCTTGGTGTGAGGGGGCAGGTGTGTGGCTGACAGCGGGGAGCCTGCCAGGGATGCCAAGGGTGCTGGTTCCTGCTTAATCAGGGACACCTGTGCCCCCTTCTCGCTTTCCAGGAATAACTGGGATGCTCCCACGCCCCCTGTGTGGTTCAGGGATGGGGCACTTCTCTCTCAGCCGCTGAACTGACGGGAGGAAAAGGCAATGGAAAGTCTAACTTTTCTGGAACAGGCAGGTGACACCTTTTGGAACCAGAATCAATCATTATTTTTGGTTGGGGTTTCCATTTTCCCTGAAGCATCGCACCAGCTTTGGCCCGATGCCTCGGCTTACCATTTTGCATCTATCTTAAGGAATTAGGAGGATTCAGAGGAGGGTTTCTAGGGGCCTCTGCTCACTTTTCACTGCTAGGGAGACTCAAGATTCCAAGCATTCTTTCTGCAAAGCATCTGCCTTTGTTACCTTATTGCCCTATTACCAGCCATCATTTTGATTCATCTTGAATACTACAGATTAAAAACAATCCCCTGCATAATGGCTTTGTGCAAAAACAAGGGAAAGAAAACAGAAAGAAGAAAGGAAAATGTCCTATCAGAAAGTGGTCCTCCATGTTTGCAGAAAACCCAGGACCCACCGGGCCCTGGCGGGAGCGGGAAGCCACCTGCCCCTGGGAGAGGGTGCCCGTCAGTCGGGATGCCCGGCTGGCCTGCCCAGCCCCGCTGGCATAGCTACAGGACGCCCCCGTGGTAGGTATGGCTGGGGGCTGGGCTGCTGAGGCTGTCTGGGCAGGCTTTGGGGTTGTGGTGGTTGCACGGCGGCTCGTCCTTCTGCCGCTCCTTCTCCATCCAGGTTTCCAGCAGCTGCTGCTTGTCTTGCTCCTCCCGCATGAACAGCTCCACCATGAGCACCTTCTCCTTGTGGATCTGCTGGCTGATGTCCTTGGGGATGTCTGGGATGACCCAGTCCACGAAGTCGCTCATGAACATGACCAGGTTCTGGAAGGAGGAGAGGCAGCGCGTGGCAGCGGGGAGGATGGTGCCTGGGGAAGTGCTCCCGACCTCTCTGCCTGGCCCCCACCTGGTGGAGCGCCGCCCCATGACCTCCTCGCCTGTTGACCTCCCTGGGCCTCAGTTCCCAGAAGGTATAAAGGAGGCACAGAACCACCCGGCAGGTCTTTGGGAAATGTTGGCCGACTTTCTCGAACACATCTGAACTCAGTAATTGGGAAAATCACCTGAGTCATTCTGAATTCCTCGACCAGGAGACTCAGGAAGTGACCTGATGGGTCACGCATCGCCAAATCTAACAAGCATCGAGGCTTTGGGGAAAAGCATGAAACTGGAAATAGCCACAAATGGATCAAACTTTTAGTTTGCAAAGCCTCCCAGGGCCCCCCTGAACATCTACCACCTCCGTGGAGACATTTCTGGTGGATAGAAGGCAACACAAGTCAGTTTTTATGGAAAAACGGAATCTTGTCGTTTGCTGAACATCTGTCCAGCAAGCATGTGTGAGCACCCCGGGCTGAGCAGGTTCCCGCCATGGGCGGTGCTGGTGCCCCCTGGATTGGTGTCTTCTCCTGGTTGGCGGTCCCAGTCCCCAGCTGTGGCTGGGACCGGCTGCTCATGCTCGCAGCTGCAGAACATATGCCCCCTCCCATCTCCCTCTTCCCAGCCTGGTCAGCCCAAAGCAGTGGCCGGCCCATCTAGGGGTGGCCTTGCCTCCGGGTAAGGCCAGGTCTGGGGTGCCATGCATGCTCCGGGGCTCCCTTGGGGTAAGGCTGGGCTGTCTCTGGCCGAGACCCCTCTTGCTGGGCTCTCAGGCTCTGGCCTGCGGAACCCAGCCCCACACACCTTTTACACCGCTTGCTGTGAAAAGCTGATGGATGAGGCCGCTGAGCTTAGAGGAGTGGAAGGGCCTGCCCTGTGACAGAGCTGGGACTTGAACCCAGTCCTGGGGATTCCAGAATCAGAGCCCTCGGCCCACTGCCTTCCTAGCATCGACTTAATCAAGGCTAGAGGGACACCGGTGAGCAGAACCTTGGCAGTGCCCACAGCCCAGGGGCCCCCTCTCTGGGACCTCAGCTGCTGGTGCATAGCTGGCACCCTAGCAGGGGGTCCCGTTCCACTGGGAGTCCCTCTGGCATCAGAGAGTTGGCCCAGACCCCACCCCAGAGGCTGGGCCAGCTGGGCCTGGGTCCCCTGGCTGTTGGCTGTGGCTGGGGTCATCTGAGAACCCACTGCCCTTCTGTCTGTCCTGGTTCTGGCTGCTACCACAGACACAGTATGAGAACAAGAGGGACAGAGGTAGAGTCCCCCTTCTCCATGTCTCTCTCTCTTTCTCTCTTTTTTCTTTCTCTTACTCTTTCTTTCTTTCTTTTTTCTTTCTTTCTTTCTTTCTTTCTTTCTTTCTTTCTTTCTTTTCTTTCTTTCTCTCTCTTTCTCTCTCTTTCTCTCTCTTTCTCTTTCTTTCTCTCTTTCTCTTGCTTGCTTTCTTGCTTTCTTTCCTTTCTCTCTCTCTCTTCCTTCCTTTCTTCTCTCTCTCTCTCTCTCTCCCCTTTCTTTTGAGACGGAGTTTCAGTCTCATTGCTCAGGCTGGAGTGCAATGGTATAATCTCAGCTCACGGCAACCTCTGCCTCCTGGGTTCAAGTGATTCTCCTGCCTCAGCCTCCCAAGTAGCTGAGATTACAGGCACCCACCATCATGCCTGGCTGATTTTTGTATTTTTAGTAGACACAGGGTTTTACCATGTTGGCCAGGCAGGTCTCAAACTCCTGACCTCAGGTGATCTGCCCAGCTCGGCCTCCCGAAATGTTGAGATTACAGGTGTGAGCCACCGTGCCTGGCCCCTGTCTCTTTCAATAAAGACACTTCTACTGGATTTAACCCACCAGCCAGTCAGAACCCTTCTGCAGGCACTTAGAACGGCCCCTCTCTTTGCCTTCCTCTCTCATGAGGTTGTCTTGGGCCCTGTTGGTGCAGGGGGTCTGGGGTCAGCCAGGTCCCCTCCTCGGGTGTCCCAGAGCAAGTTCTCCAGGCCTCTGGAAGAGTCTCTGAACCCCCGGCTTTAGCAGCTCGTGCCTTCCAGACTGTGGGCACGGGGTGGTCCCTTAGTGCCCCCATCCTCAAACCGGAAACAAAGAGGGACGCACCGTACCTGGAAGACGATGACGAACGCCAGCCGGGCTGCCAGGACGGCCCAGAAGTCCTTGGAGATGTCGTACTTGTTTTCCGACCACGGTGGCTCTCGGTAGTCTTTGTACCTACAAAAGACGGTGGTGGAGTCGAGGGTGGGACTTCGGCGGGGCTCAGGCTCTGGCTGGAGCCAGGCAGCTCGAGGGACGCCTGGGAGAGGCTCAGCTTGGTGTGCGGCTGCCTCCGGGAGGACAGCCCTCTCTTGGGTGAGCAGCCTGCGGCCCCGCACCCAGGGAGTGTCTCTCCACGGTGGAGGGGGGTGGTCAGGACCCCCCACGGGCCAGGCAGGACCTGAGGGGCTTCGTGTAAAACATATGTGGCAGGAAGTATCCCCCGGGCCCAGCCGTGGGCTCACAGAATCAAGGGCAGGGACCATGTGGTCCAGGAGATTCCAAACTTTTAAAAGCAGTGGAGCCTTTGTTCCCAAAAGAAATCTCACTGGATACTCCAATAGGGTCCCAAGAGTGCAGAGCCTACTTGGTTGAAGTCGGGCGGGGGCAGGGGGTTCCCAAAGCTTGAACTCCCTGAACCTCACCCCAACCCTCACGCTCCACAGAGCTCCAGGATGGGTTCCGTGAAACACAGTTTGAAAACCACCTCTGCAGTCTATCCCCTCTTTGAGGGAAACTACTGAAGAAAAGCCCTGAGCACCTTATCAGCCAGGAGGGGTGGCTCGTGCCTGTAACCTCAGCACTGTAATCTCAGGCTGAGGAGTCAGAGGTCAGTCTGGGCAACACAGTAAAACCCTGTCTCTGCAAAAAAAATACAAAAATTAGCCGGGCATGGCAGCGCACGCCGGCATTCCCAGCTACTCGGGAGGCTGAGGTGGGAGGATCACCTGAGCCCGGGAGGTTGTAGTGAGTTTTTGATCACGCCACTGCTCTTCAGCCTGGCCGCAAAGTGAGACCCTGTCTCTAAAAAAAGCCAACCAAACAACCACCCAAACACCCAGCAAACCAATACCCTGAACATTTTATCAAAGTCACTTAAACAGCTTCTCAAACATTTGCGAAAGAATGAAGCTAAGCATTCCATTGGTGCAGGCAGAGGCCTGTGAGGCAGCCGGCCCGGCCCGCCCTGCCCTGCCCGGGTCTGGGGCTGCTTTCCCTCCTCCAGGGTTGCTGCTTGGTCCTCACCGCCTTATCTCGAGAGAACGCGAGCTGCCCCCGGTTCTCGTTACCAGCTTTAGATGTAGCTGACTGATCTCCTGCTTGGAGAGTCAAGCTCACTCATACCCCCTTCCCCGCCAAGGTCCTGCCACTGACCATGGATATGCTTGGAGCCTTAGGAAGGAGACTCGCCCCATTCATGACCACTGCCCATGCTCCAGTTCTCCCCAGCCCCTTCCTCTTTCAGAGACCCCGAGACGCCCAGGGTCTGTGGGCTCAGGGTGAGGTGTCTGCCTAGGGCCTCCCTCCCTCCACGGCTCCCTGAATCTGGGGGGTGCCACACATCAGCTGGAACTTGGCTTGAATGGAGCTGATGTCCCCACCCTTCATTGGAAAAGCTTCCCAAAGCTGGACAGAAAACGCCCCCACGAGGGGCAGGGCTTCCAGGGGCTCAGCTGCAGTTTGTGCCCCTGCTGGTCACTAAAAGCTGAGGTCAGTCGGGGAGACCAGGAGAAGGTCCACCTGGATTTGCAGGCACAGCCCTGGCCTGGACCCACATCCCTGGTGCTCACCCACTCCAACTGCCACCTTGCTGTGTGTCCCCTAGGCAATCACTTGACCTCTCTGGGCCTCAGTCTGGGTATTCCCTCACTTACTTATGTCACAAGCATTTATTGACCAACTACTATGTGCCAGACCCCACTCCAGGGATGGAGAATTCAGGGGGGTGCACAACAGATAGGGCCCTTGCCCACGGAGCTTGATTTCTGGAGGGAGCTGGATGGGAGTCTCCAAGGGCCTATTTAGCACTGAGCTGCCAATCCCTGAGATAGGATTGGGCTGGGCCACGGCTGTGGTGCCAGCTGCTGGGCCAGGCAGAAGTTGCACAACCTGCTTTCCCATGGGAACGAGCAGCCCTGTCCTCCCAGTGTCAGAAGCCACACGCACCAGCTCGTTCCTCTTTATTCTGTGCTCAAGGCTTTGCCTGCTAGCATCTGTCTCCTCTTCTTCAAGTCATAGCACCCCAGTTTTCCTTAGGACCCCCCAATTCTCTGTGACCTCTCACCCTGGCACATGACCCAGGCCAAGCCAAGGAGAGCCCTCCTCCTCGTGGCAATAGTGGTTGGTTCGGGAATGGACATTTGACTCAAGATGGGGCAGTAAGACTCAGTCTCTGGATTTTCACTGACTATTGAGAAACAGAAGGTCTTCCCACAGGGACTGCAGAGCAGAGAGGATTTAAGCCAGGAGCTGCTGGGGATCCTTTCCACCAGCAAGAGAACAATGCTACACAGAGGAAATCAAAGTGGAGCCTGATGGCAAACTGTAGCTCCTGGATCCAGCCATGCCTGAAGCTATCCTGGGCTTCTTAGTTATAGGAACTGGTAAATCACCTCTAATTTCCTCCCCTCAAGCATTAATTAATTAATTAATTTAATTAATTAACTAATTATAGATAGGATCTCACTCTGTTGCCCAGGCTGGAGTGCAATGGTGCAATCATAGCTCACTGCAGCCTCAAATTCCTAGGCTCAATTGATCTCCCACCTCAGCCTCCCAAGTAGCTAGAACTACAGGTGCGTGCCACAAGGCCCAGCTATTTAATTTTTTTTTTTTTTTTTTTTCTGTAGGGATGGGGTCTCACTATGTGGCTCAGGCTGGTCTCTGACTCCTCAGCTCAAGTGATCCTCCTGCCTGGCCCTCCCGAAGTGCTGGGATTACGGGTGTGAGCCACTGCACCAGCCTTTTTCTTTTTTCTTCTTTTTAAGCGAGTTTGCGTTGTTTCTTGACTTGCCCCTGATTTGAGCCCCGTCCAAACCCAGGCTCTCCCAGAAACCCCATAAACATGGCTTTTCAAAGAGGGGAGCAGAGAGCAGTACCTGCAGATCTGCACCTCGTAGCCCAGGTCCAGGGGGTCATTGGGGGCTGTGCCGTTCTGGAAGTCGCTGACGTTGAAGGAGGAGAGGGTATGGTTGACGAAGCCATGCATGGTCCCGTTCTTACTGTACATGTAGAGGTACACCAGGCGCGGGATGAAGTCAGACGTGAAGGAGATCACGAAGGCCTGCACAGGGGACGTGACAGTGAGGGGGACCCCCAGCCTGGGCGTGGAAGGGCTGGCCACAACTGGGGTGACCCGTCCACGGCCACACTGGGCCCTGGCCATGTGCCACTGCCCCTGGCGGGGACCATAGCCGCACAGCCTTGGCATGCTGAGTGAACGGATGCGGGGTCATGGGTGCTACTCTCAGCCCCCTGGCAGCTGAAGGAGAGTGCCTGGGGGCCAGAACAACGCACTCCTAGGAGAGAAGGCGCCAGGTAGACACTGGCTGACTCTTGCTGACTGTGTGGCCTTGGGCAAATCACCCAACCTCTCTGTGCCTCCATTTTCTTCTTGTCAAAACAGGGCCTGCTGATACCCACACCATGTATGCACTGTGCCTTTGGGCTTGTTGGAGAAGGGAATGAGGCAGGAAGGGAAAGTGCTTTGCAAGCTCTCAAGTCCTCACCCAGCTCATTCTATTATAGCACCAGCTCTGGCTGGTGCCCTCACAAGAGAGGAACCCAAGACCCAGCAGCTGCCTCTCACGTGGCTGTGTGGCCTTGGGCAAATCACCTAACCTGTCTATGCCTCTGGTGTCTTCCCTGTCAGATGGGGCCATGACAGTCCCCGCCTCCAAGGGCTGTGTGCAGACTAGTGGGCTTGTGTGTGGAAAGAGCTTAGAAGGGTCTAGAACATTCTAGGTGCCTGGTGAATGTACCTGCTACTATCTTTTTTTTTTTTTTTTTTAGAGAGAGATATGGTCTCACTATGTTTCATTATGCTGACCAGGCTGGTCTTGAATTCCTGGCCTCAAGCGATCCTCCCGCCTCGGCCTCCCAAAGTGCTGGGATTACAGGTGTGAGCCACCGCACTCAGCCTGCTGTTATTGTTGTTGCTGCTGTTCTCCTCAGGAGATGCGCACCGTGCTCTGCAGCTGCTCACAGCGCCCACTCATTGCAGACAGGATGTACCTCTGTTCCCAGCTCCCCCAGCTCCAGCACAGCGTGGGCTCTGTCTCGGGACCCTGTGTTCCCTTGTCTGGGCGGGATAAGGAGCCATCCCGGTGTGCACACTCTGCCCGCAGTCTCCCTGTAGTCTGGAGGGAGCGTGTGCCTGGCAGAAGGGGTTGCCCGCCGGGAAAGGGCTCTGTCAGAGGGCTCTGAGGGGCCCTTCTCCGGGGCTGAGTGTCACCCCCTGCCCTCTGTGGGGACTGAGCCCCAGGGCCTGCTGAGACCCTGACTTGGCATCACGGCCCTGCAGGGGCATTGATCGTCAGCTCTGGGGAGCCACCCCGTGTCCCCCGTGGGCACGGTGTCAGCTTTTGGTGGGGAGGATTTGGCTCAGCCAGAGGGTGGAAGGGACGAGAGCCATGGGGCCCTGGCACAGTGGACTCCCCGTGGCTGCCTGGGGTTCTCATGTCTGGGATGCAGCCTTGGGCTTGAAGTATATGCTGGAGACAGCTGGGCACAGCTAAACCCAGGGGGCATCCAGGCCATGGGCAGAGTCAGACAGATCCTGACGGGAAAGGCTGAGGGCCGGGCCATCCTAGCCTGTGGGTCTGGGGATGGGAGAGGCTAGAAGGGGCTGCCATGCTGGGGAGGAGGCTGAGGGGCCTGGGGCCCTGATTCTTAGCAGAGCCATGTGTGAGGCTGATGAGAGCGTCCTTCTCGCCCCGTTTCAGCATCTCCCAAACCTTCTCTATAGAGCAGCCATACGTTTCAGATTAAGGAGAAAAACCAACTTTTTTCTTTAAATAAGAGAACAGAAAGATTGTCAGCAAGGAATCTGTGTGTCTCCCTCTGTCTCTGTCTTCCCTCCTGTCTCTGTCTTCCCTCCTGTCTCTGTCTCTCCTCCTGTCTCTGTCTCTGTCTTCCCTCCTGTCTCTGTCTCTGTCTTCCCTCCTATCTCTGTCTCTCCTCCTGTCTCTGTCTCTGTCTTCCCTCCTGTCTCTGTCTCTGTCTTCCCTCCTGTCTCTGTCTCTGTCTTCCCTCCTGTCTCTGTCTTCCCTCCTGTCTCTGTCTCTGTCTTCCCTCCTGTCTCTGTCTTCCCTCCTGTCTCTGTCTTCCCTCCTGTCTCTGTCTCTGTCTTCCCTCCTGTCTCTGTCTTCCCTCCTGTCTCTGTCTTCTTCCCTCCTGTCTCTGTCTCTGTCTTCCCTCCTGTCTCTGTCTTCCCTCCTGTCTCTGTCTCTGTCTTCCCTCCTGTCTCTGTCTTCCCTCCTGTCTCTGTCTTCCCTCCTGTCTCTGTCTTCCCTCCTGTCTCTGTCTCTGTCTTCCCTCCTGTCTCTGTCTTCCCTCCTGTCTCTGTCTTCCCTCCTGTCTCTGTCTCTGTCTTCCCTCCTGTCTCTGTCTCTGTCTTCCCTCCTGTCTCTGTCTTCCCTCCTGTCTCTGTCTTCCCTCCTGTCTCTGTCTCTGTCTTCCCTCCTGTCTCTGTCTCTGTCTTCCCTCCTATCTCTGTCTCTGTCTTCCCTCCTGTCTCTGTCTCTGTCTTCCCTCCTGTCTCTGTCTCTGTCTTCCCTCCTGTCTCTGTCTTCCCTCCTGTCTCTGTCTCTGTCTTCCCTCCTGTCTCTGTCTTCCCTCCTGTCTCTGTCTTCCCTCCTGTCTCTGTCTCTGTCTTCCCTCCTGTCTCTGTCTCTGTCTTCCCTCCTGTCTCTGTCTCCCTCCTGTCTCTGTCTTCCCTCCTGTCTCTGTCTCTGTCTTCCCTCCTGTCTCTGTCTCTGTCTTCCCTCCTATCTCTGTCTTCCCTCCTGTCTCTGTCTCTGTCTTCCCTCCTTCTCTGTCTCTGTCTTCCCTCCTGTCTCTGTCTTCCCTCCTGTCTCTGTCTCTGTCTTCCCTCCTGTCTCTGTCTTCCCTCCTGTCTCTGTCTTCCCTCCTGTCTCTGTCTCTGTCTTCCCTCCTGTCTCTGTCTCCTCCTTCTCTGTCTTCCCTCCTGTCTCTGTCTCTGTCTTCCCTCCTGTCTCTGTCTTCCCTCCTGTCTCTGTCTTCCCTCCTGTCTCTGTCTCTGTCTTCCCTCCTGTCTCTGTCTCTGTCTTCCCTCCTGTCTCTGTCTCTGTCTTCCCTCCTGTCTCTGTCTCTGTCTTCCCTCCTGTCTCTGTCTCTGTCTTCCCTCCTGTCTCTGTCTCTGTCTTCCCTCCTGTCTCTGTCTTCCCTCCTGTCTCTGTCTTCCCTCCTGTCTCTGTCTTCCCTCCTGTCTCTGTCTCTGTCTTCCCTCCTATCTCTGTCTCTGTCTTCCCTCCTGTCTCTGTCTTCCCTCCTTCTCTGTCTCTGTCTTCCCTCCTGTCTCTGTCTTCCCTCCTGTCTCTGTCTCTGTCTTCCCTCCTGTCTCTGTCTTCCCTCCTGTCTCTGTCTCTGTCTTCCCTCCTGTCTCTGTCTTCCCTCCTGTCTCTGTCTCTGTCTTCCCTCCTGTCTCTGTCTCTGTCTTCCCTCCTGTCTCTGTCTTCCCTCCTGTCTCTGTCTCTGTCTTCCCTCCTGTCTCTGTCTCTGTCTTCCCTCCTGTCTCTGTCTTCCCTCCTGTCTCTGTCTTCCCTCCTATCTCTGTCTCTGTCTTCCCTCCTGTCTCTGTCTCTGTCTTCCCTCCTGTCTCTGTCTTCCCTCCTGTCTCTGTCTCTGTCTTCCCTCCTGTCTCTGTCTTCCCTCCTATCTCTGTCTCTGTCTTCCCTCCTGTCTCTGTCTTCCCTCCTGTCTCTGTCTCTGTCTTCCCTCCTGTCTCTGTCTCTGTCTTCCCTCCTGTCTCTGTCTTCCCTCCTGTCTCTGTCTCTGTCTTCCCTCCTGTCTCTGTCTTCCCTCCTGTCTCTGTCTCTGTCTTCCCTCCTGTCTCTGTCTTCCCTCCTGTCTCTGTCTCTGTCTTCCCTCCTGTCTCTGTCTCTGTCTTCCCTCCTGTCTCTGTCTTCCCTCCTATCTCTGTCTCTGTCTTCCCTCCTGTCTCTGTCTTCCTTCCTGTCTCTGTCTTCCCTCCTATCTCTGTCTCTGTCTTCCCTCCTGTCTCTGTCTTCCCTCCTGTCTCTGTCTTCCCTCCTGTCTCTGTCTTCCCTCCTGTCTCTGTCTCTGTCTTCCCTCCTATCTCTGTCTCTGTCTTCCCTCCTGTCTCTGTCTTCCCTCCTGTCTCTGTCTCTGTCTTCCTCCTGTCTCTGTCTCTGTCTTCCCTCCTGTCTCTGTCTCTGTCTTCCCTCCTGTCTCTGTCTTCCCTCCTGTCTCTGTCTCTGTCTTCCCTCCTGTCTCTGTCTTCCCTCCTGTCTCTGTCTTCCCTCCTGTCTCTGTCTTCCCTTCCTGTCTCTGTCTTCCCTCCTTCTCTGTCTCTGTCTTCCCTCCTGTCTCTGTCTTCCCTCCTGTCTCTGTCTTCCTCCTTCTCTGTCTCTGTCTTCCCTCCTGTCTCTGTCTTCCCTCCTTCTCTGTCTCTGTCTCCCCTCCTGTCTCTGTCTCTGTCTTCCCTCCTGTCTCTGTCTCTGTCTTCCCTCCTGTCTCTGTCTCTGTCTTCCCTCCTGTCTCTGTCTCTGTCTTCCCTCCTGTCTCTGTCTCTGTCTTCCCTCCTGTCTCTGTCTTCCCTCCTGTCTCTGTCTCTGTCTTCCCTCCTGTCTCTGTCTTCCCTCCTGTCTCTGTCTTCCCTCCTATCTCTGTCTCTGTCTTCCCTCCTGTCTCTGTCTTCCCTCCTGTCTCTGTCTTCCCTCCTGTCTCTGTCTTCCCTCCTGTCTCTGTCTCTGTCTTCCCTCCTGTCTCTGTCTCTGTCTTCCCTCCTGTCTCTGTCTCTGTCTTCCCTCCTATCTCTGTCTCTGTCTCTGTCTTCCCTCCTGTCTCTGTCTTCCCTCCTGTCTCTGTCTCTGTCTTCCCTCCTGTCTCTGTCTTCCCTCCTGTCTCTGTCTCTGTCTTCCCTCCTGTCTCTGTCTCTGTCTTCCCTCCTGTCTCTGTCTCTGTCTTCCCTCCTGTCTCTGTCTTCCCTCCTATCTCTGTCCTTCTCCTCCTGTCTCTGTCTTCCTCTCCTGTCTCTGTCTTCCCTCCTCTCTGTCTCTGTCTTCCCTCCTGTCTCTGTCTCTGTCTGTCTCCTGTCTCTGTCTTCCCTCCTGTCTCTGTCTTCCCTCCTGTCTCTGTCTCTGTCTTCCCTCTGTCTTCCCTCTGTCTCTGTCTCTGTCTTCCCTCCTGTCTCTGTCTCTGTCTTCCTCCTGTCTCTGTCTCCCCTCCTGTCTCTGTCTCTGTCTTCCCTCCTGTCTCTGTCTTCCCTCCTGTCTCTGTCTCTGTCTTCCCTCCTGTCTCTGTCTCTGTCTTCCCTCCTGTCTCTGTCTTCCCTCCTGTCTCTGTCTCTGTCTTCCCTCCTGTCTCTGTCTTCCCTCCTGTCTCTGTCTTCCCTCCTGTCTCTGTCTTCCCTCCTGTCTCTGTCTCTGTCTTCCCTCCTGTCTCTGTCTCTGTCTTCCCTCCTGTCTCTGTCTCTGTCTTCCCTCCTGTCTCTGTCTTCCCTCCTGTCTCTGTCTCTGTCTTCCCTCCTGTCTCTGTCTTCCCTCCTGTCTCTGTCTCTGTCTTCCCTCCTGTCTCTGTCTCCTCCTGTCTCTGTCTCTCCTTCTCTGTCTCTGTCTTCCCTCCTGTCTCTGTCTTCCCTCCTGTCTCTGTCTTCCCTCCTGTCTCTGTCTCTGTCTTCCCTCCTGTCTCTGTTCTGTCTTCCCTCCTGTCTCTGTCTCTGTCTTCCCTCCTGTCTCTGTCTTCCCTCCTGTCTCTGTCTCTGTCTTCCCTCCTGTCTCTGTCTTCCTCTGTCTTGTCTCTGTCTTCCCTCCTGTCTCTGTCTTCTTCTGTCTCTGTCTTCCCTCCTATCTCTGTCTCTGTCTTCCTCCTGTCTCTGTCTTCCTCTGTCTCTGTCTTTCCTGTCTCTTCCCCTCCTGTCTCTGTCTCTGTCTTCCCTCCTGTCTCTGTCTCTGTCTTCCCTCCTGTCTCTGTCTCTGTCTTCCCTCCTTCTCTGTCTCTGTCTTCCCTCCTGTCTCTGTCTCTGTCTTCCCTCCTGTCTCTGTCTCTGTCTTCCCTCCTGTCTCTGTCTTCCCTCCTGTCTCTGTCTTCCCTCCTGTCTCTGTCTTCCCTCCTATCTCTGTCTCTGTCTTCCCTCCTGTCTCTGTCTCTGTCTTCCCTCCTATCTCTGTCTCTGTCTTCCCTCCTGTCTCTGTCTTCCCTCCTATCTCTGTCTCTGTCTTCCCTCCTATCTCTGTCTCTGTCTTCCCTCCTGTCTCTGTCTTCCCTCCTTCCTGTCTCTGTCTTCCTCCTTCTCTGTCTCTGTCTTCCCTCCTGTCTCTGTCTCTGTCTTCCCTCCTATCTCTGTCTCTGTCTTCCCTCCTGTCTGTCTCTGTCTTCCCTCCTGTCTCTGTCTCTGTCTTCCCCTCCTGTCCTCTGTCTCGTCTCTGTCTTCCCTCCTGTCTCTGTCTCTGTCTTCCCCTCCTGTCTCTGTCTTCCCTCCTGTCTCTGTCTCTGTCTTCCCTCCTGTCCTCCTGTCTCTGTCTCCCTCCTGTCTCTGTCTCTTTCTTCCCTCCTGTCTCTGTCTCTGTCTTCCCTCCTGTCTCTGTCTCTGTCTTCCCTCCTGTCTCTGTCTTCCCTCCTATCTCTGTCTCTGTCTTCCCTCTTATATCTGTCTCTGTCTTCCCTCCTGTCTCTGTCTTCCCTCCTATCTCTGTCTCTGTCTTCCCTCCTGTCTCTGTCTCTGTCTTCCCTCTTATATCTGTCTGTTGTTTATTCTCAGTGGACTTAGGGGCCAAGGTGGGCATGGTGGAGAATTTTGCTCAAAGCTTGCAGAAAGGCTGGGCACAGTGGCTCATGAATGTAATCCCAGCACTTTGGGAGGCCAAGGAGGGCGGATCACCTGAGGTCAGGAGTTTGAGACCAGCCTGGTCAACATGTCAAAACCCTGTCTCTACTAAAAATACAAAAGTTAGTCGGGCGTGGTGGTGGGCGCCTGTAATCCCAGCTACTTGGGAGACCGAGGCACGAGAATTGCTTGCACCTGGGAGGCAGAGGTTGTAGTGAGCTGAGATAGTGCCACTGCACTGCAGCCTGGACCACAGAGTGAGACTCTGACTCAAAAAAAATTAAACAAAAAACTTGCAGGTAAAGTTTGAAGAGAATTTTTTATGCCTCCCCAGAATGCACCCTCCCCACCCCATGCGGTCAAGGGACATTTATAACTAGAGAATCCCGGCAGCCTGGGGCTGCACCGTGGCTGGGGTAGAAGACCCATGCCCAGCTCCTTCTCCAAGGGGCCCCCGGCCGCCTGGCAGTTCAGCCAGGACTTCCTTCCACCGAGTTCCCTGATGTCACTTACATTGATGATGACAGCAAGCTTCCCAATGCCTCTGAGGATATTGTACCAGATTCCTGGGGGAAGAAGAAGTCACGGTTTTAAAGAACCCTACACTCTCAGTCATTGCAGCCACCAGGCAACAGCCTGAGCGGGTACCATCCTTGCAGGGGCCAGGCTCTCTCACAGCAGTCAGAGGCTTACGGCAACCAAGAGTCATTTGCTCAGGTCCTGAGGAAGCCAGGTCAGTGCCAGGGCCTGGTGTGCACCAGCCCTTTCTGACAAGCTCACCAGCTTCTAAAAGAGGGGCTTAAAGACAGCTGCTCCCTCAGTGGTTCTGCACGATCTCCCCGTGCACCTGTGTAAATACTAGTTGGCTCAGATGAAACGTTTTTTATTCCTAAAGTGACTAAGATTCAATTGGGGTGCAGCTCCCAAAGCTCTGGCGGAGGATACCTGTATTCAGGGCTAGGCCAGACACAGGAGTGCAGGTCGAACCGTTCCCCATCTGCACACCCCCTTGCTCCCTTTACTCCAAGACCCAGGGTTGCACCAAATCACAGATGAACAAGAAGATCACAACACAACGCCCGGGGCCATGCTGGCCTCTCCATTGTCTTCCCAGCGGCCACGAGATCTAGCAGGGCCCAGGAAGGAGTCCCTCAATGGCCCAGGAAGCAGGGCCTCAGTGTTGCAATTCCTGGAAATGGTCCAGTGTCCCGGACTGACCCCTGGCTCACCCTAATTGCACCCTATCATGCCCAGCAGTGTCGTATGCAGCGGTTTGGCTGGGAGCCCAATCCTGAGGCCTGCTCTTCATGCCCTGAGCCGGCTCTGAGATGGGTGATAACCAGCACTCGTCAGAAAGGACCAAGACGGAGCAGATGGACTTCCTGCCTGTGCAGGAGGCTGCAGGGAGAGCTGTACATAGCGCTTCTGCCCTGGTAGCTAAGGGGAGCCTCTCAGTCCCCATTTCTGGGGTGCATGCTGGTGGTCTGCAAAGGCAGCAAGAGTTCAGGCCCCCTGTGTGGCCCAGAGCTAGAAACCACAGGCTCAGATGAAACCTCCGAGACCAGGATCTCTTGCTCCCTGCCCCCAGCCAGCTCCAATTCAATGACAGACCACAGTCACAATCATCATCAATCAAAAATGCCACTGTAGGCTGGGTGTGGAGGCTCACGACTATAATCCTAGCATTTTGGGAGGCTGAGGTGGACAGATGACTTGAAGCCAGGAGTTTGAGACCAGCCTTGCCAATATGGCAAAACACCATCTCTACTAAAAATACAAAAATTAGCTGGGCACGGTGGCACATGCCTGTAATCCCAGCTACTCGGAAGGCTGAGGCACAAGAATAGTTTGAGCCAGGGAGGCTGAGGTTATGGTGAGCCGAGTTCACGCCACTGCATTCCAGCATGGGCAACAGAGAAAGGTTCTGTCTCAAAAAAAGAGAGAAATACCCACTGCAACCCATTGCTGGTGGGCAGTTTGAGAAGTGACGATCACTATTCCCTGACCCCTCTCTCCAGTCCTCGGGCCACGGGAGCCATCACCTAATTGTAGCTCCATTGATCTTTTGCACGGGCGCAGCGATCCTCAGTTTATTTTTCTGCTGGAGCAGGTGGTGGGGCAGTCACATGGGCTCTGCACACTAGCAGCCCCAGGGCCACCCCATCCTGAATAAAGCACCTGGGAACGCAGGTGCGTGAGGGCTGGATGGCACAGCCCTACAAAGTCAGCACTGAAGTGCTCCCTCAGGAGTGGGAACACTTCCCGCTCTGCTTCTCCTGGCTGGGTGTCAGGGCTGAGGGCCCTCTGTGGACTCCAAGCTCCTGGGGCAGGCTGCTAATTGCACGTCCCTGTAGCTTCTGGGTCTAGCTTGGTGTCTGGCACATGAGGTGGGTGCTGCTGGATAAATGCCTGCTGAGTGACTGCACGAGCATAGAAAGTCCTTTCCAACCCGATGCTGGCGCCGGAGCAGAGGCTGCAAAGCAGTGGCAGGCAGGCCGCATCCACGCTACATGGCCATTTTGTTACGCTTGCCTACTGCTTAAAAATGCAGACTGATGCTTAAAAACTGGGAAAATGTATTTAAAAAAATCAAGGCTGGGCGCATTGGCTCACGCCTGTAATTCTAGCACTTTGGGAGGCTGAGGCGGGTGGATCACCTGAGGTCGGGAGTTCGAGTCCAGTCTGGCCAACATGGCGAAGCCCCGCTCTATTAAAAATACAAAAATTAGCTGGGTGTGGTGGCAGGCGCCTGTAATCCCAGCTACTCAGGAGGCTGAGGCAGGAGAATTGCTAGAACCTGGGGGATGGAGGTTGCAGTGAGCCGATATTGTGCCACTTCACTCCAGCCCTGGCGAATGAGTGAGACTCCGTCTCAAAAAACAAAAAAAAACAAACAAACCAAAAAAAAAATCGAGACTCCTCGGCTCTGGTCCTGGCTGGCTGCTGCGTCTCCTTGGCAACAGCTGGCTGTGATGCTGTGATGCCCGGGGCGCCCCCTGCAGGTCGGGCTGTGCACCACAGCTCTGCTGTCTGTGCGGGGGCCTCCAGGCGACCTCTGACCTCAGACTTCCATTATGGCCGCCTTAGCATCCAAACCCAGACCCGGACTAGAGAGTTGAATGTTTCAAGCAATGTGGGAACGGGCACACTGCTCTGTGGCCATGAAGAACACTCCTAGGACTTAGTCTCACTTGTGCGTGTGGCCCACCTGGCCCTTGGGGCTCTGAGTTTGAGACCTCTGAGGTGGGGTGGGCCTGGGGTGGGGGTTGAAGTCTTTGGCTGTGGGGCTCCCGAGGGATGCGGCTCCTGAGCTCAGGGCCTTGGAAGGGCAAGATTCAGGCAGGCGAGGGGGTCTGTCCAGGTGATTGCCCAGCGGGCCCAGAGAGACAACAGGAAGTGGGAGGGATGAGGAGGGGATGAGATGGAGCCGGGAGCGGGGTCTTCCTCGTTTCCAGGCCTGGATGGAGCCTGTCCTGACAGGTCTGCAGGATTTCTATGTCCAGGAGGATGACTCTCCGTGTGGCCCTGCACATCCGTGGGGTGTGTTAGAGAAATGCAGAACCGACAGCCCAGCCCCAGCCCCAGCCTACAGAATCCGCCTCTCCTGGGGTGGGGCTGGGAACCCCGAGTTATTCTGAGGCACACTCCAGGGAGACACTCACTGCTCTGAGGATCTCTGTAAACTAAAAATAAAATTCTAATCCCCTCCTCAACCATTTAAATGGGGTCCATTATCTCGGCTAGGGAACCCTCAAGTTAACCTGAAAAACTGGTTCAGGCCATGACAGGAAGCAGGGGGCATGGGGAGGGTCAGACAGGCCTCCTCATGCCCTCCTCCCTTTTGGAATTCAGCAAAAGCCGACCAGTGTGACCATCAACACAGACCTTAAGTCTGATAAACATTTACAGTCTATTCTCTCTGACCCTGTTACCTGGAGGTTTCATCTGCATGATAAAACCTTGGTTTCCACAACCCCTTATCATAACCCAGACTTTTCTTTCTATTGATAATAACTCAACCAATTGACAATCAGAAATTTTAAAAATAGGCTGGGTGCGGTGGCTCACTGCTGGGGCACTTTGGGAGGCAGAGGTGGGCAGATCACCTGAGGTCACAAGTTGGAGAAACATGGTGAAGTCTTGTATCTACTAAAAATACAAAATTAGCCAAATCTGGTGGCACACACCTGCAATCCCAGCTACTCAGGAGGCTAAGGCAGGAGAATCGCTTGAACCCAGGAGGCGGAGGTTGCATCATGCCATTGCACTCCAGCCTGGGTGACAAGAGTGAAACTCTCTCTCTCAAACACACACACACACACACACACACACACACACACACACACACACACACATATATATATATATATACCTATAACCTGGAAGTCGCCCCACCCTGTCCCGCCTTTCTGGACCAAATCAATGTATATCTTAGATATATCTGATTGATGTTTCGTGTCTCCCTAAAATGTACAAAACCAAGCTGTACCGCGACCACCTTGGGCCCATGTTCTCAGCACCTCCTGAGGGCTGTGTCATGGGCCGTGGTCACTCATATTTGGCTCAGAATAAATGTCTTCAAATATTTGACAGAGTTTGACTCTTTTCATTGACATCTCTAAGTAAAAGGGGATGCTGTGCTTTTGGAATACTCTTTGGGTGGGCTTCTTTGATGACAGTCCTGTTGGGGAAAACTGCCTCATTTTTACTTCCCCAAGTAAATTCCTTGGTTTCTTTCCCAAGGAATTTTTCCCACTCTAGGGGATGCTAAGCCCCATTTCCCAGAGCAGTACAGGGAGGTATTTGGACAAAGCCAGGTGCTTGGCGAGGCCACCACTGCTGCCCACAGGCAGTGCCTGGGAGCCGAATGGAGGCTGCGCTTTCCCACCAGCAGGCTGTGAAGCACCAGGAAGAGAACAGGAAGTCGAAGCCAGGGCTGGGGAGCTGGAGCAGATTCCCACGCATGGCTGGGTCCCTGCTGTGACCCGCTGGATGGCAGGGTGATCTAGGCACCTGTGCTTTGTGGCACAGCTTCCTCCAGCCACCCAGGGCCTCAGAGGTGCAGGTCACAGGGGCCACAGGGGCCCTCTGTCCGCTCGAGGAGCTCGCCTGGGGGCCCTGCACGGATCATAGAAGGAATACAAAAGCCTCTTCAAGGAAAGGCTATGGTTAAGGAATCCACAAACAAACGAGTGAAAGGAGGGCAGATTATGCCTTCAGCCAACCGGACAGGAACCAGGAAGTGAGTAGCTGATCCGTAAGAACTGAGCAAAAACAAGCCAGGTGCAAAGACTCCAAAGAGGCACGCGGAAGGCCTGCTGCTGGTGGGGACGCCAATGCCTGCAGAGGGACTGCAGGAAGCCAAGGCCATTGAGCTGCTGCTCTCTTTCACCCTGGTGGGTTTGCAAGCTTCATTCAGCCACCGTCTGGGGACAGCCAGAGCTTCTCGAAGCAGAGGGCACCAGAGCAAACACATGCACACTGTGATGCGGCAGGTGGCGGGCAGGGGTAGGGCACTGTCAGGTGCCTGATCATCGGGCCTTTGTGAGGACTCAGCGTGGGCTGCATTCTTCTCTTTGTTTTCAGCTGTAGCTGCTGGAATGGGATGGCACTCTTTTCTTTACTGCCGTGGGGCAGGGAGCTCCAGAATTTCCGAGGACTGCAGGGAGCACCTGGTGAGCGGGCCCGGAGCTCCCCCTTTGGGGTCTTTGGTACACAGGGTGAGGTTTGCAGAGGCAAACCCTCTATGCATGCAGGAGGCCTAGGGCTTGAGCTCTCTGGTTCCCGCTCAGCTGTTACCGTCTGGGCCTCGGTTTCCCATCTGGAAAGTGGCACCGAGGGAAGATTCACTCAGGCTTCCCCCCCGGGGTTCCCTGGAGGACACGACAGGCTGAGGTTCTGAGGAAAGTTCATGTTGGAGGCAGCTCTGTGGCGCGATCTTCAAAGCAGCGCTATGCGGAGGCACAGCCTGGGATGCAATCTCGCCTTGCTCCTGAGAGCGGGTGTGCAGAGATGGCCATGGTGGCCTGTTTTTCGATAGCCTCTTTTTCACTTGTCCCGCCAGCTAAAAATGACCTTTTTTTTTTTTTGAAACGGAGTCTTGCTGTTGCCCAAGCTGGAGTGCGGTGGCACGATCTCGGCTCACTGCAAGCTCCACCTCCCAAGTTCACGCCATTCTCCTGCCTCAGCCTCCCAAGTAGCTGGGATTACAGGCGCCTGCCACCATTAAAAATTAAAATGCCACCACAAAAATTAGCGCTCCCAGCTAATTTTTGTATTTTTAGTAGAGATGGGGTTTCACCATATTGGCCAGGCTGGTCTCAAACTCCTGACCTCAGGTGATCCACCTGCCTCGGCCTCCCAAAGTGCTGCGATTACAGGCATGAGCCACCACGCCAGGCCCTGACCTTTTCCACTTTTAAGTATGAAATGAAAAATGTACGAAAAATGTAGCCTTTGGGTGAGAACCACTGCCTAAGACTTGAGGACGTCGTTTCTGGGTCCAGGAAGCCTAAAACATTCACTCTGGCTCTTTACTGAAGACAAGTGCTGACCTCTGACCTAGAGCACCAGCAAATCAGCGCTTCAGCCTTGCGCCACCTCTGGCCATGTAGGGCTGTGGTATGAGGGGCGAGGGGCGAGGAGCTCACCCATGGCCTCAGCAGAGGCAGAACAGGGATGCTGGTGGTTAGCGGGGTCTTCGGAGGGTTAGTTAGCTCATGGCTTTTAAAGCCTTTGAAATTTGTAAACAAAATCTCACAGGGCAGTCTAATATAGAGTGTCTGTGTTCTGAGTCTTCATTACCTGGGTCACCCAGAGAAGAGATGACGTAGGGAAGCAAAAGTATCCAAACACAGTGCCATGACCTCTTACCCACGAGCCCTGGGATGTCCCTCCCTATAAGGCACCGAAGTTTCCAGGCCCCTTTCAAAGCCAGGGCCTTACGCAGGGCAAATGTGAAGCTGCAGGGTGAACTGCAGGGTGAATCGCTGCTATCTGATGGTCTTTGAGCTGTGAAAATGACAATTTCATCTGTTTTAGTCTACAAGACAGCCAAGTGTTAAGAGAAGCCAGAGTTGAAGTTATCTTGGAGCCAGACAGTGGAGGATTGGTGGATTTGGTCACCAGTGGATGCTGGGCTTGCCACAAGGGGCCAAGGTGTGGACCAAGGAGCTTCCAACCAGGACAGAGCCGCTAACAACTTAAGGAGAGAACACGGACTAGGGTGAGGTGATCCGAAGGGTGTTGCCAGCGAGAATGACACACATACCAAGGACTGGAGAAGCCCTTGGAACAACTGAAAAGGCTTCCCACATTTCTTTTTTTTTTTTTTTTTTGCGATGGAGTCTTGCTCTGTCGCCCAGGCTGGAGTGCAGTAGCACGATCTCGGCTCACTGCAACTTCTGCCTCCCGGAATCAAGGAATTCTCCTGCCTTAGCCTCCTGAGGAGCTGGGATTACAGGCTCCCACCACCATACCCGGCTAATTTTGTATTTTTAGTAGAGACGGGGTTTCACCATGTTAGGCTGGTCTCGAACTCTTGACCTCAGGTGATCCACCTGCTTTGGCCTCCCAAAGTGCTGGGATTACAGGCATGAGCCACTGCACCCGGTCAGTTTCCCACTTTTTGTAAGATTACGTTTGGCCTACAAAAGCCTAACCCAAAACTATCTTATCAAGCTGATATGGAATCTTTATTTCAGCAAGGTGATATCCCCAATACGTAATCCAACCTTTTGTTTATTCCAATAATTAGTACAAAGGTGCTATTCTCACTAAAATTTGTTAAATTTGAGATAAAATGAATGTATGTTTGTAATTTTGTTTTCACCCTGAAAATTGGGTCCCACCATAAGATAAGATGGGATCACCCTTCCTGTGAGGGCTGGCTCTGGTGGAGGCCTGTGTGGGGCTCCCATACCCCTCACCCTCCTGGACAGATTGTCGTCCTATCTCTGCTTAAATGCCTCTGGTAACAGGGAGCTCTCTAACCCACAAGGAAGTCTGCTCTGTTTTTGACCCCTCTGACTATTAAAGTTATTCTTTTTCTTTTTCTTTTTTTTTTGAGACAGGGTCTCTCTGTTGCCCAGGCTGGAGTGTAGTGGCATGATCACATCTCACTGCAGCCTTGACCTCCTGGGCTCACACGATCCTCCTGCCTCAGCCTCCCAAGTAGCTGGGACCACAGGTCTGCGCTACCATATCCAGCTAATTTTACTTATGTTTTTGAGACAGGATCTCACTCTGTTGCCCAGGCGTGGGCACAGCTCACTGCAGCCACAATCTGCGTGGGCTCACTGAACCTCCCACCTCAGCCTCCTGAGTAGCTGCGACTACAGGCATGCACCATCATGCCCAGCAAATTTTTCTATTTTTCGTAGAGACAGGGTTTCGCCATGTTGCCTACGCTGGTCTTGAATTCCTGGGCTCAATGTGGAGACAGGGTTTCGCCATGTTGCCTAGGCTGGTCTTGAACTCCTGGGCTCAAGCTGTGCCTTCTCCTGGGCCTCCCAAAGCACTGGGATTACAGGAGTGAGCCACGGTGCTCAGCTCAAGTTATTCTTTATGCTGACCTGAAATATACATTCTCCCAACCTCACACCCTTTCTCCACGTGGTCAAGGTGCCTTAGTGACGGGGTTAAAAAGCTGGAGTTGAGTTGCATCTTGGCTTTGATTCCTGTAGGCAAGCCATGCAATGACTGGGACTGTTCTTCCCTGTCTACAGAGGGGGGCTCCTTCCTTCCTTTTCTCTTTTGTGAACATTAAATGATGCCATGACATGCAATGTAGGAAGGCACATGCTGAACAGCTAACACTCCTTTCCCGTTGGTCTTGCCCTGGCTCTGGGGTCACACACTTGCTACAGGTGGGTGTCGCCAGCCATCAGAGAGGCAATGTAGTCTCTTGTACCTCCTAAAGCAGCAGGTTGTTGAGACATTCAGATGTCTGGGACCCACACTTTCCAAACGTCGTCTGTGACCAATGCATCTTAGGAGGGAACGGGTGGGGACAGGGCTAAGCGAGCCTCCACGTCTTGTGTTACCTGCCCCCCAGGCTCCACCCGGCAAAGGCTGAGTGAAGAGCCCCAGGAGGGACACCTGGTCAGCTCTGGCTCTAGCTTCTGGAGCGTGGCAATCCCCTCCCCAAACCCAGCACGCATGTGGAACTGGTCCTGCCGGCCCGTGGGGTCACTCACCGATGTCTTTGGCTCTGACAGCCACCGGCCTTCGGAGCTCAGTGACAAACTTTTTGGCGTCCAGGCGGATCTCAATGATGTTGTTCAGCAGCGCAAACAGCGGGGCCAGGGGGAAGGAGGCGACAAACAGGGTGACAAAGCCAAACTGGATGACTGCAGAGAGAGCCCAGTGCCAGTCAGCACCCCATGAGCCACAGCCCATAAGCGGGGACTCCACCACCCCGTGTGCCGAGCTGCACAGGTCTGGCTGCTGCCCCACCTCCAACAAGCCCACCTGCATAGACCACCTGTTGGGACGGACCCTCCATGACCCTGGGTGACCTCCAGGAGTGGACTGAAGGCAGAATTCCAAATTTTGCTCTGAATCTGTGTTGGACTCTTGAATAAAGGGAGTGCTCACTTAGCTATGGCTAATCTTTTTTGAGATAGTCTCGATCGGTCACCAGGCTGCAGTACAGTGGCACAACCATGGCTCACTGCAGCCTCGACCTCCCAGGCTCAATGAATCCTCCCACTTCAGCCTCCCAAGTAGCTGGGACCAAGGCATGCACCACTATGATTACTTAATTTTTGTATTTTTTGTAGAGCTGGGATTTTGCTATGTTGCCCAGGGTGGTCTCAAACTCCTGAGCTCAAGTCATCCACCCAAAGTGCTGGGATTCCAGGCATAAGCCACCTCGCCAGCCTATGTCAAATTTAAAAAAATCATCACCAAAAGGAAAAGGACCATCGTGAGCTCAAAGGCCCAGACTGTGGTCATTCCCCTGCCTGTGCTGGGAAGGGACGTGGCAGTGGCTCTGCTGCTTCCATCATGGGGGCTCCCTGGGACCTGGGGGACCTGCCTGCATGGCTGCATCTTCCAGAGCCCCCAACTTTCCCTTGCATCAGGCCTCCTGGATCTGGGTGGGACCCAGGACAGTCCCTCGCCTCTGCCCCTGCAGTCCTCCCCCTGGGGATCATCCCGCCCAGGAGCTGGCTCTGGGGCTTCTTTGGCTTTGGATGCTGCATCTAGCACGGGGCTGGGCTCCTAGGAGAAGGTCAGGAAAAGGTTGCTGAGTGGAACTGAGCAGGAAAGCTGGTTCAGGAACTGCACAGCAGGACCCAGTCCAAGGGCGTTTGGTGCCAGGCGGTAAACAAGGAAGCCGGCAGAATGTCACTGTGTGCCTGGCGGGCTGAGTGTGGGCATTGTTAGCATGTGGGGTAGGCCGTGCAGGGTGCCCTGAGTGTGAGCACTGTTAGCATGCAGGATGGGCCATGGCGGGGAGTGCCCTGCAAGTTCTGTCCCTGGGCTGTCTTGCTCGCCCTGGCAAGGTGGGCTGAGTGGGAGTTCTCTGGTCCTGCCTGAGGTCCCTGGAGGGGATGAGGGATTGCTTATGTAGGGTGGTGTGTGCTGTGCATGAGGGCGGGGGGCTGCTGAGGCCTGAGGCTGTGGGTCACTCACCAGGGTGGGCTTTCTCACTTCCGAGTGGTGCTGCCTACTCTGGCACTAAGGGTATGACCGGGGAGCTGGAGACACTGCCAGGGCTGGGGCCAGGGAGGGAGGGTACAGGGGGTGGGGAGGTGGGGCATTCCCAAATGGGCTTGTTCTCCCCATCTATCCACATCCGTGGCTTGAGCCTTCCTTGGAGGAACAGACTGGCAGCCCATGGGGTGGGGAGAAAGCCAGTGGGTGTGGAAATGTGCCTCGGTCAGTGGGGGCAGGGTGGGGCACGGGTGAACCACTCCCCGTGTATGTGGGCAGGAGGCGCCTGCTCCAGAAATCCCCTTTGTCCAAACCTATCAGGAACTCGGGACGTGACGTCCAGCCACTAGGAAAATAAATCCAGGGAAGGGGCTACCAGTCTCGTGGCCCACTGCAGGCTGTGCTGGTGTCTGGGGCTCTATTCTCCCTAGGGTTTCCTGTGGAAGGAGTGACCCTGCAGGCAGGGGAGGCCACCTCCCAGACCCCGTCCCTCCTGGACGAGTGGCCAATGCTGAATTTAAACAGCTGAGAGCTGTTTGCCCACCGGCCTGACCCTGGTTCAGCTTGGACTTTATTCCAGGAGAAAACAGAGAGGAGCCACAGAACGCCACACTTAAGATTCCTCTCCTCTGGTCAGCGGCAGGGTGCTCCTTGCACAATTGTCTGGGGAGCCAGGAGTGACATATGTGGACACTTCGGCCAACAGGAGGGGCACAGGGCAGCACTTGCGGTGAAATTAAACAGAAACGCTCCCCGCCCTCTAAGGGGCCCTTACTCCCAGGCCTTTGTTCAAAATGCAGCCTGCCAGGTCTCACCTGGAGCAGACCAGGGACAAGCCTGGGAACGGGCATTTTACAGAACTTGACCTTGGTGGCCCGGGCACTGCATGCTGGGAGCCCCGTCTACAGCAGTCTTCCTGACTACTTTTGCTCATCCATTTAGTCAGCAAACACCCATTGAGCACCCACTGTATACCTGGACCTGCTCTAGGAGCAGGGCTATGGGATGAGGAGTAAGAGAGGGCGAGGCTGCCATCCTACCAGGGGGAGACAGAAGAGGGATGACGGGGTGAGGCTGTCTGCTGGGAAGCAGAAACACCAAGCAGAGGAGGGGTGGGGGTCGTGGCCGTGTCAGGCAGGGGCTGCCCCTTTCAAACACGGTGGTCAGGGAAGGCTTCTCTGTTGGGGAACATTCCGAATAGAGCCCGGCAGGCAGGAGAGAGTGAGTCATGCAGGTATTTGGGGGAGGGCATTCCAGCAGGGCACATCTAGTGCAAAGGCCCTGGGGCGGCCCAAGCTCCGTGGGGCTGGGGAGCAGCAAGGAGGCCAGCATGTGCAGAGCACAGGAGCAGGAGGGAGAGGTAAGTGACCAGGTCAGGGAGAGTCCAGAGCCGTGCGGACCGCACCTGGCTTTTTCCCAGCTCTCCTTGGCCACCCCCTAAAGGTATGTGCCGCCTCTTGGCATCCTCCTGGCCAGCCACACGATTGAGGGGGGTAAGGCTCAATCCCTGGGTCTCCTTTGAGCACCTGCCCTGTGCTAGGGGCAGCTGTCGCCAGCCCACAGGTGAGCAAGTCCTGGCTCCTGCAACTCAGGAGCTCACCACCAGGAAGGGGAGATGAGTCATGGACCCAAAGCAGGAGGCTTGAAGGACCCTGGGGCTGAGACGAGGGACCTCGGATTGCGGGGGGTTTCAAGTGAGGAGGATCTTGTAGCTTAGCAGGGCTGAGCCCTCGGCTGCTGAGGGAGACTGAGGGAGGAGGAAGAGCTGCACAGCCGAGGCCGGGTTCGGGTTGCCCTGAAGGGAACTGTGCCTGGGGACCATGCCTGGGGACCATGCCTGGGGACCATGCCTGGAGACCGTGCCTGGGGACCATGCCTGGGGACCGTGCCTGGGGACCATGCCTGGAGACCGTGCCTGGGGACCATGCCTGGGGACCGTGCCTGGGGACCGTGCCTGGGGACCGTGCCTGGGGACCGTGCCTGGGGACCGTGGCTGCTTGACCTGGGCCTCTGGAAGACAGGACAGCCATGCTCACCGACCCAAGGGAGCAGCAGCACCAGGATCCCAGGGTCTGCATCTCCCTCCTCCCCGCCCAATGCTTCCGGAGGGATGCTGGGCACCGCGGGGTCGGGGGCATCATGCCCCTGCAGCCCTTCCCCACTCCAGGTGGCATGCTGGCCTGATTTCTATCCTGACGTCACCTGCCTGTCCCGGCTGTCACTCACTCATTTCCATGTACTCTGGGGTGAGGCCCGCGAAGGGCTCCAGGTTGTAATCCACCTCATACCGCTGCTTCCTCTTCACACACTCCTCGTGGTCAGGGGGGCTCTGCCGCTTCAGCTTCAGGTAACGGATGAGCTTCTTCATCTTCCTGAGAGATGTGACACCACACAGTTAGGTTTGCAGAAAGGTGAATCTGGGGCTCGGGTCTGGCACCTCTGGTGATGTGTCTTTTTTTTTTTTTTTTTGAGACAGAGTTTCACTCTCTTTGCTCAGGCTGGAGTGCAGTGGCACTGTCTCAGCTCACTGCAACCTCTGCCTCCCGGGATCAAGCAATTCTCTTGCCTCAGCCTCCCGAGTAGCTGGGACTACAGGCACACGCTGCCACGCCCAGCTAATTTTTTGTATTTTAAGTCGAGATGGGGTTTCATAGTACTGCCCAGGCTGGTCTTGAACTCCTGAGCTCAGGCGATCCGCCCGTCTCTGCCTCCCAAAGTACTAGGATTATAGGCATGAGCCACTGCGCCTGGCCTCTAGTGATATTTCTAAGTTTCTGCTTTAAATCTAAAATTCACTTGTTTGCAATCATTTCTTTATATGATCTCCTCTGCCGTTTCCCCAAAAGGCAAGGGGTAAGCGTCATGGCTTTGCTGGCTACAGAAGGAAATGGAGGTGCAGGGAGGGCAAACGGCCACTTGTGACCCACAGGAGGGCCCAGCAGGCATCAGGGACACAAGAACAGTGGAGGCTGGTCATGCCCAAGTGGACTCTTGGGGAAAGACACAGATCATGGAAAATGGCCCAACAAGTTCCTGAGTCCAGAGACCTAGGAGCCGTTGGGGAGGCGGGAATGGGATATGGATTTCGGAAGGTACAAGGTAATAAGGAGGCTGAGTCCCCCAGCCTCCATCTGGAAACCCTGGGGAGCCAGCATTGGGCTTGGGGGCACCTGGTGGTACCCCACATCCCCAGCCAGCATGGAGTGGGGTGTCATTCTGACTTCCTCTCCCTCCTTTGTCCAAAATGGAGTGGCTTTATTTTTTAATGTTTTTATTATTTATTCATTTTTTGAGACAGAGTCTTAGTCTGTCGCCCAGGCTGGAGTGCAGTGATGCGATCTTGGCTGACTGCAACCTCCACCTCCTGGGTTCAAGGGGTTCTCCTGCCTCAGCCTCCCATGTAGCTGGGACTACAGGCATCCACCACCACGCCTGGCTAATTTTTGTATTTTTGGTAGAGACGGGTTTCACCGTGTTGGCCAGTCTGGTCTCGAATTCTTGACCTCTAGTGATCTGCCCACCTCAGCCTCCCAAAGTGCTGGGATTACAGTTATGAGCCACTGCGCTTGGCCCTGTTTTTGTTTTTTAAAACAGGGTCTCACTCTGTGGCCCAGGCTAGACAGAGTGCAGTGGTACAATCACAGCTCACTGCAGCCTGGAACTCCTGGGCTCCAGCGATCCTCCTGCCTCAGCCTCCTGAGTAGCTGGGACTACAGGCACGCACCACCACACCTGGCTAACTTTTTATTTTTTGTAGAGGTGCAGTCTTGCTTTGTGCCCAGGCTGGTCTTGATTTCCTAGGCTCAAATGGTCCTTCTGCCTCGGCTTCCCAAAGTGCTGGGATTGCAGGCGTCAGCCACCATGCCTGACCTGGGGTGGCTTTTGCCTCATCTTCCCTCTGTGTCCTCCTTCTCTCCCTGTTTCTGGTGCCCCCATCTTGGTTGAAGCCCTGCGTCCACCCAGACCACCGCAGGAGCCATCCACACACCCCTCCGCCTGCCTCGCCTCTGTCACTCTAACCCGCCACACTCACGGGATGCCAATCTCGAACAGGTTGTTCTGGATCAGCTGTTTCCCCAGCATGATGATGCTAAGCTGGATGCATAGCTCCATCAGGCAGCCTCCTGGCGCACACTGTGGACAGAGAGCAGCATCAGCCCCGCTACAGGGACACCGGGAGAGGGACCGCAGCCCTGCAAGGAGGCCCACCCTCATGCCATGGGTTGACCTGCATCCTCCAAAAAAAGACACTCAGGTTCTAATCCCCGCCACCTGGGAACGTGGCCTTATTTGCAAAAACGGTCTTTGCAGATGTAGTCAGGTCAGGGGGTGTTCATGCTGGGGTAGGGTGGGCGCCCATCCGAGGACTGGTGTGCTCAGAAGAGAAGACGCGGGCACAGAGGGAAGAGGCCGCGTGAAGATGGAGGCAGAGGGTGGAGTGGCCGAGTAAAGGAACCATGAGAACTTCTGTAGTCCCCAGAAGCTGGGAGAGGCAAGGCAGGTCCTCCCCTAGAACCCTTGAAGGGAACACAGCCTGGCTAACACCTGGATGCTGCACTTCCAACCTTCAGAACTGTGAGACTCCATCTCTGTTATTTGAAGCTGCCCAGTCTGTGGGATTGAGTTGCGGCAGCCCCGGGAAACTGGCACACCCCGCCTACAGGCTGCTGGGCTTGGGGGCTGCGGCTGGGAGCTGGGAGCACATTGGGAGGGAGTAGGCAGGGGTGGGGCAGGGCCTCAGGCCACCTCCTTTTTCCCAGTGCCACTGGCCGGTCCCATGCACCAGTCACCATCCACTGCCTCTGCACCACCATGGCAGGCTGAGCGCATGCAGCAGGCAAGCTCCATAGGAGGCGGAAGTCACCCCTAAGGCCTAATGCCCCTGACGCAGTGGGCCTGTGCCACCTTAGGCCAGGGACCCCGCAAGCAGGCGACAGTCAGAAACCTATCTGCGCTGGAAGTTTAACTTGTCCAAGCAAAGGGAACACCAGGGATGCGTGGTGACCCCTGAGGCACAGCAAATTTGTTCTGCATTCCAAATAAAACCTAGTAAATGCCCACATCTGTCTTGGAGAGCCATGCTTTCAGAAAAAGCAATTACACCATTTGCTTTATTATATGACTTCTCTGACCCGGGACGAGTGTGACAGGGGATGATGATACAAAAAGGAAAGAGCATTTCATAAGTTTGGCACAGATGCCCATTACTGTGGAGGAGGCCCATGTCTTGGGCTGCCCAGGGGCCTGCATTCAGGTAGTTGAACCTCTAGGCTGCGCTCCAGACAGCCAGATCACCCTGTACCTGATGTCCACCCTATCCTCGATACCTTGTTTCACAGGGTCTTTATCAAGAAGACCCACCCTCTTATTTTCTGATAAGCTGAATTACGCTGTGGATTGGAAATGTTGAGACCAGAACCACTGATAGGCCCTGAAGCCCCGGCTTGGTCTGATGGAGCCCCTGGTTGTGAAACAGACAGTGGAGCAAGTCCATGGGCTGTGACAGAGGCTGAACCAGGCTGGCACAACCAGACCTTCTGTGGCCAGGATCGCTGGGCAGAAGTGAAATGCCACGAGCGTGGTGTTTGAGGGTAAAGAGACAAGCATTTCAATGTCTAGCTAAAAAAACAAACAAACAAAGGTAGCCAAGTTCTGTTTTGTCCTCATTAATTCATCTTTTTTTTTTTGAAATGGAGCCTTGCTCTGTCACCCAGGTTGGAGTGTAGTGGCGAAATCTCAGCTCACTGCAACCTCCACCTTCCAGGTTCAAGCGATTCTCATGCCTCAGCCTCTTGAGTAGCTGGGATTACAAGCATACACCAATGCGCCCAGCTAATTTTTTGTGTTTTTAGTAGAGATGGGGTTTCACCATGTTGGCCAGGCTGCTCTCGAACTCCTGACCTCAGGTGATCCAATAGTCTCGGCCTCCCAAAGTGCTGAGATTACAGGCATGAGCCACTGCGCCCAGCCTTCATTCATTCATCTTAACCAGAAGAGAAATATTCAGTCTCACAAAAAAAGAAATGAAAAGAAAAACCAGATGTCCTGCTTTTCTTTCATAAACTCTATAGCGAGTTTACCCTTCTAGGTGATTCTATATGAACACACCAAATAAGATCAAAGCCCACCCCACCACGTCAGGGGAACAGAAAAGTTCCCAGCAGGAAGGAAAGAAACCACTGTTCTTTGCTGAACAAATATGCTGCGGCTGCTTCTCCCAAGTGCTTCTCCCAAGCACGGTGTAGACAAATCGTAAGCAAAACACAAGGGACTACCAGAAACGAATAACATTTCGGTTACCTCTTCCATTCGGAAGGAACGGAAAATGTACACGTAGTCGCCCGGGCGTCCGACAAACCTGAAACGATGGGGGAGGTCATTAGAAAGAAGATGAGCCCCTAGCTCAGCTCCGGGAGAGACCCCCAAGTGGGGACTGTGCGGCGTGTGAGTCCTGCAGGCCCAGCCTCAAGGGTATCTACAGGTGGCTCTCCCTGCCTGGTCACATCTGCTAAAAGATGACCACAGTGGTTTTCACTGGTCAAAGGTTGGATTCCCAAACCCAGAGATGGGTCAGAAAAAGGAACTTCTTCAGTGAGAGGTCATGAGACTGAGAGGCAGTGGGAAGGGGGCCCAGCGGGGCATTAAGGCAAAGACCACCGTGGTCTGAAGACTGCAAGCTGCTGCGCTAGCTTCCCCGGGACTCAGGACGTGCCGCTGGCACAGTGATGTCCGTGGACAGCTGGCACAGAAGCACTCTGGGGACCTCGGGCAGCTGGGGCAGGTGGTGGCCAAAGGCCACCTTGGGTGGGGATAGACAGCCTCTCAGCCTTCTAGGGGCTGGTGTGGGGTGTGGAGGCTTCCGAGAGCCTGCTCCATCCTGGATGCACTCGGCGAGGACTGGACCCCTTGGCAGGGCCCTGGGAACCTGGGCCAGGAGGGCGGGCATGGCACTGGTGAATCACATGATGTGGAGGAGGCGGCCTTTTGGGGGGCTCTGAGATGAGACCAGCCAGCCCCTTGCGGGAGTGGCGGTGGAGGTGGGGGCATCATTGTGGGTGGGCCGCAGGCCCCACCACAGCCTGGGATGGCTCCAGAGGGTCCAGGCGGGGCAGGTTTCACCCCACCAGGAGCTGTGAAGAGGGCTCAAGTGGCCAGCAGCCGCACTTCCACGCCCTCCTCTCTCCTTGTCCCCACTCTGTGGACTCCTCCCTACCCCTCACTTCCCGGGGTCCCCACTGCCCGGGGTCCTCACTGCCCAGGGTCCTCACTCCCGGGTCCTCACTGCCCCATCCTCACTGCCTGAGGTCCCGATTGCCTGGGCTCCCTGCTGCCCAGGGTCCGGCCGCTCTGGAGCCTTAGCAGGGCCCAGGCCTTCTCCCTGACCCTCATCGGCTGCAGGTGCCACAGTGTCTGCCCTGTCTTGGGCTCCAGGTGCCCCCCGCCTGTGGGGAGGGAGAGCCCTCCCCTGGACTTGGGAGAAGCGAGGTGGGGAAAATGCTGAAGATGTCCCTACCGGCCTTTGAAGAACGCCACGTAAAAGATGGGGGTGTAGGAGTTCACAAACTTCAGCAGGAAAGCCTTGAAGATCAGCCTCTCCTCGAAGCTTTTCTCTGTCTTCGGGACCTCTAGAGGGCGGGGTAGGATGATACTGAGGCTGTGGCTGGGATGGCCCCCAACAGCCTGGTCCAGTCTCTGGCTGGCCACTGACACCGCCACTCAGTTGGCTCTCATAGGCGCGCCAGGGCCTGTGATCAGGATCCCCGTTCAGAGCCAGGGAGCTGGGGCCCAGAGAAGTTAAGCAACAAACTCAAGGGTGCACAGCAAGAGGCAGGCGACTCCGGCTGCCTGAGTCCAGGCCATGGGTACCTGGAATGTGGGCACTCACCGATCTTGGTGAGCCACCGGGCTATGCAGCCGTACACCTCATCCAGGAGGATGATGACCACTAGGTTGATGATGACCGCAGTAGCTGTGACTGTGACCCGGATGTTGGACCGCACGGAGGGGGAGGAGTTCACGGCCAAGGCGGCGGCCATGGAGATTCTGTAGATGATGACGCCAAGGACGATGGCAAAAGTCACTGCAATCTGCAGGGGGGGGGAAGGGGCACTCTTGGTTGGGGGCCCACCCAGGACCTTCCTGGGCCTGCCCCATCTACTCCCTCAGCCCAGCTGTCCCCCAACCTTCCTGCTCTTCTGCTTCAAAACAAGGACTGACATTTCTTGAGCACCTGCCAAATGCTAGGCACTTTCTGTGCATTAACTAGAGACAGATGGACGAGGGGCTAGTTCCTGTTCCAAGGAAGAGGACACTGAGGTTCAGAGAGATCACGTAGACAGGCCAGGTCACCCAGCTCAGGAGCTGGGATTTACCAGGCGGTCTACCCAAGCCTGCAGTTCACAAGATCTTTGCGCTACCATCTTCCTGGAGCCCAAGCACGGTCCCCAAGCAGAGCCCAGGACACAGTATGGCCACCAGGCCAGTGGCTGGTCCCAGAGCAGGCTGATTGAGCGGGAGGGGCTTCTCCCCCAATCCATGGTGAGCTCAGGGACATCCTCACATGGTGTGCAGGGCTGAGGTGTGCCTCCCTCACAGCCACCTCCTGGGGACTCCCCTGGTAAAGGAGGCGGGTGCTGCCTGGGATGGGGCAGGGCTTTGGGTCTGGCTGGAGTTGCTTTGGGTCCCTTCTCCCAGCCAGCAGCTCCCTTCCAGCTCCCCCACCAGAGCGAGCTCCTCCTCTTGCCAAACCTACCGTGGGACCAGAACATTCCATAAAACTTGGGTTGGCGGTTGCCTGAGAAACCGTGGTGGGAGCTGGCTACAATGACAAGATTGTTCCACACACTGCTGTCTGTCTGTCTGTCTGGGCTCCCTCACCCTGCCCTGCCCTGCCCTGCCCAGGGGTGTGGATGCCCCATTCTGAGCCCTCATTGAGGACGGATGGACCGAGGGCTGGGTAGGAGAAGCACAGAGCAAAGTCAGGCTCCTCCCCTAGGCGTGAAACCACCCACAGGACACAGGCTCTGTCTTGTCACCCTGTGTCCCCGCGTTCCAGGAAATCGCACATTTGCTCCCATGCAACGGTGCAGAGGGCAGGTCCCGTCCCTGCTAGCACGGTCACGGGTGGCTCCCAGGACAGACCCAGGAGGCCTGGGGCTGCCCTCTGTGTCTCCCAGTTGCAGCGTGGGATGGGTCTGTCTGCCCCAGAGGGAGTCCGCAGCTTTCAGAAACCTAGAAAAGCTCTCATTTCACGTTCTGGGCCATTACCACCGGCTTCTGCAGGCATCTGCCAGTAACACATGGTGACCACACCCTGTCCAGGAAAACGCCTGCAGCCCTCACCACACCCTGACGAAGGAGTAGCCCTGCTGCGAGGCGTGGGGACCACTCCCTGGCCCGTTCCGGGGAATGAGGGTTTTCCTTGGAAAAGCCCTCGGTCCTGCCAAGAGGCCTCCAGGACGTCTGTCCCCGTGCCAGCATGCGGAGGTGCAGGTGGAGCACCGGGCCTGTGGGAGACTCAGCGGGGGAGGCCCTCCACCCCAGCAGGCACGTCCCCTGCCCTGCCACGGGGCAGTCGGGCCCACAACAGGCACACCCTGCGGCAGGTTCCCTTCCAGTCTCCCTGGTCCATCTCCCCTGCATCTCCAGGACCAGGGGCATGAGGGGGCACATCCTAGGTGCTCAGCCAATGTTTGTTCACTGAATGAAACTCCCAAGTTGAAGACAAAGCCGTGTCCTCTTCAACCCTATGAAGCCCTTGACGGGTTTACCAGGATGTCAAGGCTGGGAAAAGAGCCGGCTACTTCCCTATCCAATGTCCTCTCTGTCTTTCCTCTACCATCCTGCCTTGCTGAGACGGCAGTGCGTGCTCATTCCTCAGCCTCCCTGCAGAGGCTGAACCAGTTCTGACCAATGAGATGCAAGCAGAGGTGTGGCAGGTCTTCTGCGAAAGCACCTTCAGACAGGGCCTGCCACCCCTGGCCCATCTCTTCCCCCGCCCTTCCCCTTCTTCCAGCCTGGAGAGTGGAAGTGATGTTGGAGGTGCAGCAGCCATGTTGTGACCAAGAGGGGACCTACTCCTAGGACAGGCGAGTAGAAGGTCAGAGAAGCCAGTGACTCTGATGGCATCGTGAGGCCACCAGACCAGCCCTAGACGGCCACCTCCTTCCCGGCCCCTCACTGGCCCTTCTGTGACAATGCTGTTGCTTCTGCAGTGGGAGTGGCTGAACCTCAGGCTAGCCTCTGCTGGGTGAGGGATGGGGAGCCTCCGGCTATCTCCCAGCCCCCTCGCCTGGCGCCTGGCCAGAGGGGACACATCCCCTCAACACGAGGCCAGGTGCCCTCCCACCAAGTCACTGGAGAGCACAACAGCCCCCAGCTCCCACTGAGGGGCTCTCCTTCCCCAGGTAAGGGGGAGGGGCAGGCCCCGCCGCTGAGACCACCCTGCTCTGGACTTCTTTATGTCGGCCGGGGTCCCTCTTACTGTACCTGAGAGCGTGAGGGGACACTGGATCTTCCCGCTGCTTCCATGACTCGATCAGGGGGCCCTTGGCCCCTCACTCAACCCAGAAAACAAAGACAGCTCCCTGCCTCTGTCTCTCCAAGTTCCTACGGAATGGCATGGATCTTGGAGCAGGCAGTTCAACTGGCACCGGTTTCTGCAGGCATATGCCAGTGACTACATGGTGACCACGGCCACCGCCTCTGGCTGGCACCAGAGGAGAGGGTGCAGTCTTCCGGCTTTAGTTTCTGTGTCAGCAGGAGAGGGATGGTACCAGGACTGGCCAGTGGCAAGGACTGAATGAGACACTCCAGTGAGGGCCTCAGTGCACAGCTGCCAACCTGGGTCTCCGAGTACCAGGTCTCTGGGCTTGGTGGCCGCAGGAGGCGCTGCCTTCAAGCTGTCAGACTGGACAAGGGCAGGGTCATTTCTAACATGACCACAGCTGGCTCCGAGCCCTTGCTGGGTGATGGAAACACAGCTAGTATGCGGCCAAGGCCGAATCCACTGGGGGTTGAAATCCCTGGGATTGAAATCCCCTAAAAGCCACAAGATGTTTGCCCACGAGCCGCGTCACAGACTTGCGGTCCCCTGAGTAGCACTATCGTGTCCTGTCTGCGTGTTATTTATTTAATAGTTTTCTTTTTAAAAACTTTTTAAAATTTGGTTTTACTTAATTTAATGCTGATGCCTGTATCAGGGCTCAAGTCATGTTTGGTCACAAAATAAACAGTTTTTTTTTGAGACAGGGTCCCGCTGTATTGCCCAGGCCGGAATGCAGTGATGCAACCACAGCTCACTGCAGCCTCGACTTCTCAGGCTCCAGCAATCCTCCCACTACAGCCTCCCGAATAGCTGGGACCACAGGCGTACACCACCACGCCAGCTACTTTTTGTATTTTTGGTTTTGCGATGTGGCCCAGGCTGGTCTCAAACTCCTAAGCTCAAGCAATCCTCCTGCTTCAGCCTCCCAAAGTGCTGGGAATACAGGTGTGAGCCACTGCACTCAGCCAATTTAATGGCTTTCTTAAAAAGTCTTCAGTTTCTTCTTAAATGGTATCTTTGAATCCCAGGCTTGAATTACTAGATACTTAAAAAATCATGTCTCTCAAAATGAAAGCTGTGTATCAGGGACCACTGAAATCATCTTATGTACCCGCTGGCATGTGAAGCCCCCACTGGGGGTCACTTTGGAACCCTGGTCCCTTCCCATTTCAGGGGTAGTGGTGAGTCTTCCCCACCTACCCACTGCCCTGAGGAGATGGGGCCGGCGCACCCTGGGACCAATGGTACTGCCATGTGAAAGTGAAAGGCTGAATCAGGTCTTGGAGGACACCAATCACTTCCTTTTTTTTTTTTTTTTTTTTGAGACAGAGTCTTGCTCTGTCCCCCGGGCTGGAGTGCAATGGCGTGATCTCTACTCACTGCAACTTCTGCCTCCAAGGTTCAAGCGATTCTCCTGCCTCAGCCTCCTGAGTAGCTGGGACTACAGGCATGAACCATGACACCAGCTAATTTTTGTATTTTTAGCAGAGACGGAGTTTCACCATATTGGCCAGGCTGGTCTCGAACTCCTGACGTCAAGTGATCCGCCTGCCTCGGCCTCCCAAAGTGTTGGGATTACAGGTGTGAACCACCACGCCCAGCTGATGCCAATCACTTCCTTGCGGTTTCCCCTGACTTCCTCTGGCCTTAACCTTCTGGAACTTACCATGAAGATGATGGAGACCAAGTTGGTGAGGTAGGCTGGGAACCGATCTCTCCAGGTCAGCTTCACTTTGTCAGTCTACAACACAAAACGATGCCCGTCACTGGCTGGAACCATCACGATGAGACATGTCTGTGTGTCAGCGTGGGGGTGTGTGTGTGTGTGCGCGTGGGCCCAGGGACAACTTGAACAACAGAAATACTCAGAAAAGCCTTCAAAAATGCCCACAGGTGATGAGCCAGGGCAAACACATAGGGTTCCAAGAAGCATTTGGGGGTTTATCACCTATGTCAAGGATAACGGGACTAAGAGCCGTTAAATACTGTGATTCCTCTGTGTACAGGGCATTGTAATGCCAGCTGCCTTTCTAAAGACTGTTGGATCCACGTCTGGGAGAAACTTGGACCTGGAGTCCATGTCTTCAGCTAAAAGTCTCACTTCTAAGTCTAGAAGATGGAAGATGTTTTCCCAGTGCCACCCAGACCATAATAGTTATTTTTCCTTTGTGGAGCAAGTTGAAACAAGCAGCTAGCACTACAAGTTCAAACGTCGTCTGTGGTGACACATGGCCCGAAGGCTCTCAGCACCCAAGGTTGGCTTGGTCTGGAGAAACCCTAGGTAGAAGCTCATCACTAACCCGGGACGTTTCAAATGGAGGTGGATTTCTTCCATGGGAAAATGCATGTAATAGGTCACGGAATGCGGACAGGGGCGCGACACCGGAGGCCACTCATTCCAGGGGTGGGTGGCATGCGTGTTAACGAGAAGACCAAGAATCGCTTGCAGGCAATTGTGACAAGCACGTTTCACGAGCTCCAAATCAAGCCAGAGCCCCCCGCCCCCGCCACCGCAGACCCACCACAGCCATGCAGTGCCATCGCAACACGCCGGGCTCGCTGGGTGCCGAAGGAAGACAGAGAAATATGGATGTGAATGTTAAAAAAAAAAACAAAACAAAAAAACAACAGTTTGTTGAAGAAAAACACAATCGACTTTGATTGCCTGCAAACAGTCAAGACGCGCGTTGCCCGCAAAATAGAAAAGTACCAATTTCACCCCCGCCATGGCTGTCTTAACCCTCTGCTTCCATTTGTTTGTTGACTCCTCTGGGATATGCCGGCGCTTCTGAGGGCGGGTGGGGGGAAAGAGAGCACCGTGCGGTGAAGCGGGAGGTGGGCCGCAGACCGCGGGGCCCAGGGAACCGTCCCCATCTTGGCAGCAGGCTGGCCCCTCCCGGTGCCAGCCGTAAGCTCACTGCCAAGGCTGACTTGGGTTCTGGGCATTTTAAACAGATAAGAGATGGCAGAGACCCACGCTGGGAAGGAACATCGGTAACCAAGTGGTGGACAGGAGGGACTCCAGTAGGCACCCTCCACCGGGCCGCGTCACGCCCCACCTCGCAGAGGGCAGCTGGATTCCAGCGGGAGGCAGCGGCCAACACCAGCATCTTATGACAGCAGGAAGGAAGCCGCACCCAGAAGCCCAAGCTCATGTGCCGATTAGGTGGTGGGCCTCTTTTCACAAATGAATTCATAAATGAATTCAGTGCCATAGCTGGAGGGAAATCAAAACCAGAGGGCAGCCGCTGGGAGCCAAATGGAACGGAGGAGGAAATAAAGGGGACGGCCCATCAGAAGCAGACAGGGCCTGGGGGTACCTCTGAGCTCTGCAAAAATAAACCCCCATGCCTCTGTTGCTTTCATGCGATCAGAGAGCGTGGGCTGAAGGCAAGCCACGGGCCACAGAGGCAGACGGACCCTGTTCCAAGTGGTGGCTTCCTTTCGGCCCCCGTTGCCCAGATGCACTGTTGTGGCTTGGTTAGGTCCCTTGCCTTAAATGGACATAGTGTGTGCCACAAAGCCCTTTTCTCCCCCTCAGGAAGGAGTGGAATACCCACCCATGCTCACTCTAAGAGGTGCGACCACACAGCTACAGGGTGGGCTGTCTTGGGGGCCACACACTGACATTTCCACCTAGGCTTGGGGGCCGGGACGCTGCCCTGAAAACACGCCGGACGCCTGCAGGGCCCTAGAGATGGTGGCATCCAGGTCTTTTGCTTTCCCAGGAGGGAATGAGGGGCAGAGGGCCTGAAGGGCCAGTTCAGAGGGCAGCTGGCACCTGGCGTGCATGTCCGATGAGTTAAGTCAGACAGACAGTCTATTTTAGGGCGATAACTCCTGCTTTTATGGTTGTATTCTGCACACCTTTGAGTCCTGCTCAGATCCTCAGGGGTGTTTAAAAAGACGTACTTCCTGGCTATAGGAGGACCGAGCTGTACCCCAAATTCTCATTGTGTTTGAAGAGCTGGGCCTTGGGAGGAGGCTTTCTAGAGCACCCACTTTACCCTCCAGATGGGATTTTGGCAACTGCAACCCCCGACCACTTTGAACCTGTGGAGCACTATCCCCTGACACATCGACAAGGAAAGACAAACCCAGGGGTTTGTCTTGATCGGTCCCCAAAGCTGAAAATGTAGATATGACACAAGGTCGGGACCTGTGAGAGCTCCCTCGACTGCCCTCATCCCTCAGTGCAGGCATCTCCAGCCTCCGTTAGAGGCTGACAAGGCCAGGAACTCCATGCCTGCTTGTCCCATATCATGTGAAAAACACCATTAAAAAAACTTGGCTGGGCACCGTGGCTCACGTCTGTAATCCCAGCACTTTGGGAGGCCAAGGCAAGCAGATCTCTTGGGGTCAGGAGTTCGAGACCAGCCTGGGCAACACAGTGAAACACAAAAAATTAGCTGGGCACGGTGGTGCACGCCTGTAGTCCCAGCTACCCGGGAGGTTGAGGCATGAGAATTACTTGAACCCGGGAGGTGGGGGGACCAGTGAGCCGAGATCACGCCATGCACTCCAGCCTGAGCGACAGAGAGAGACTCTGTCTTAACAAACAAACAAATGAACAAACAAACAAACAAACAAAGCTGGCAAGCACCTCTGGAGGTCTTCGAGAATGCTGGCTGCACATACGACTTAATTTGAATGAGACGTTTGGGGAAAAAGAAGAGCAATTATTATAAAAAGATGATGACCTCAAAAACATTGCAAAACATGTCTCACCCTCATTCTCACAGTCTGAGTGAAACAAGGAACTGGCCATTTGCTCAGGGGTGCTGGTTTGGCAAAGGCTTCTGTTTCGTTGTTTGACATAGAACAGGAGGGGTGTACTGTGAAAAAACTTTGAAGCCTCAAAGCCACATGGTTCTTGTGGTTGAAATGCTTGCTGAAATTTGAGATCACCCTCAGGATACATCAAGACAGAGATCTAGAGGAGGTTTGATAAACTATAGCCCTTCGGCCAAATCTGGCCCCCTGTCTGTTTTTGCAAATAAAGTTTTATTGGAACACAGTGTGTGGAACACAGGCCCATGTGTTTACCTACTGTCTATGGCTCCTTTTGATGCTACCATGGCAGAATTGAGCAGCTGCAACACGGGGTTACACTGCCTACAATCTTTGTTATCTGGGCTGATCCCAGGTCTACACTGTTGATGAACACAGTGTTTTATTGCTGGGAAAGTTAACCCGCAGTGGCCACCATACCTCTTTGTTTTTGTACTCTTTCTTCAGAGACTTCTCCAAGACTCTGGCTTCATATTCAGCTCTGGGATGATCCTATGAATGAAACCAAGTCAAGACGGAGGCCTTGTTAATTGTGAGTCTGAGCTTCTCAGCGTCAGCATACTTGGCAAATCAGTCCATGGATTAGCCTCGGGCACCCTTTGGGTCCAGTTCATAGTTGGCTGCTGAGAATATTTCCAATGTAATCCCCCCGTCTGTCGTCTGGATAGTGACCCAGGATTATCCCGCTTGTGGGGAACCCCAGCCCATTGAGAGGGCCACCGAGTCTGGCCTCTGTGTCCTCCTAGAGGTGGAGAAACCTGTACCAGGCTGCAGTGAACACCCAGCCATGAACTGGCCCTTAGAACATTCTACGGAGGAGCTGTGGGGGTCGGAAGAGATGCGGTACGTGTCGGCAAGCGCGGGCAGCCCAGAGGTGCCAGGCCTTGGGGAGCTCAGAGCAGGTCAGCGAAGGGTGCTGGAAGGGAAGAATGGGTTAGGAGAGACCGGAGGTAGAGAGAAAGCAGAGACCCCGCCTGCGTGGAGAAACTGCGGGAACTGCATGGTAGAAATAGATTAGGTGCAAGAGAAGGTCCCTCTCCCAGGGAGACAGGCCGTGGGAAGATAGAGGAGCGACAAAAAATTCCAAACCTTGACAGCCTCCTTCAGGGAACCAGAAAAGTAAAAACAAAAACACAAAGATGTCATTATTTAGGTTGTTATTTTAGAAATAGGACCTGTCCACTAAAGACAACTTTCTTTTTTTTTGAGATGGAGTCTTGCTCCATTGCCCAGGCTGGAGTGCAATGGCGTGATCTTGGCTCACTGCAAGCTCTGCCTCCTGGGTTCAAGTGATTCTCCTGCCTCAGCCTCCCGAGTAGCTGGAATGACAGGCGCCCACCACCACACCCAGCTAATTTTTTGTATTTTTAGTAGAGACGGGGTTTCACCATGTTAGCCAGGATGATCTTGATCTCCTGACCTCGTGATCTGCCCTCCTCGGCCTCCCAAAGTGCTGGGGTTACAGGCGTGAGCCACCGCGCCCGGCCCTAAAGACAACTTTCTTCAGAACTAGGATGAAGGTAAAAGATGCAGGTGAGCTGGGATGGGTGGGTGATCCTGGGTTCCTTTAAGGTTCACTGCTGCTTGAGGGTGACTATGGGCTGTGGCCTTTGTAGCTGTGGCCTTTCCCATGGTTTTGGAAATTCCCCAAATTTCCAAATTTCAGTGCTGGACTGAAATGTCTCAGACTCAGCTAAGGGATACATGGGCCACATGATGGGACACAAGTGTCCTGCTTCAGTACCGAAGTCCGGGGTTCAGGCTATATGGAGGGGAGGCCCCGTTCGCCTGTAGTTATTACTCCCAAAGGAGGCCCTGACCAGCTGCTGGGGGGTGCGAGTGGCTCACTGTGGGAAATTCATTCAGGCCCCTTGGCACTGTGTGTGCCCAGTGACTTCGGTTGTCACCCCCAAAATCAAGATCCCAAACCATCGGGGTCAGGAGATCAGGGAATGGGACCCCAAGGGGTTGAGCAAAGGGGACTGGAGCTCACTGCCAACTTTCCCCAGCACAGGGACATCACAGAAAGGACATTTGAAATTGACTCCTGAACAAGACAGCGACTGCTTTTTTTTTCTTCTATCTGAATCTTTCTAATTGAAACGGCAAGGAAGAGAACACCCAGAGAGCCCCCGCCACGGACAGGGCTCTGGCTGTGTCCCGGGTCTGCCCTGCAGAGCTGTGTGCCGTGAACAGGTTGCGTTGATCTCCGCCTAGTCATTTGTGGACAGGATAATGAGACCGGCTGAGGAAGAGGGTGGAGGCTGTTATCTGGGCAGGTAAAGGTGTGGCCCAGTGGCCACAAGCTGGGCAGCCATTTACAGGGCACTGTGTGCTGGGTCAGGTTCTAAGTGATTTATATCTATTGACCCATTGAGACCCTACAAATGCCATCAAGTGAGGACACTGAGGTACAGAGATGTTAAGCAATCTGCCTGGGGTCACGCAGCAAGGCTGCTGCCGAATCTGCATGGAACTCTGGCAGCCTGGCCGCAGAGGCCCGTCTTGTACCCTCTGAGCTGCCGTGCCTCTCCCAGAAAACTCTAGTCCCCTTGTCTGTTGACAATATTGTCAGCCCGAAGCTGGCACATTTGGCTGAAGAGTGGCCCATGGGTTCAGTGTGAGAGGGAGCAGATTGTGTGAGAAAATACAACAGAAAAGTTAAGAAAAAGTTTTTAAAGAAAAAAATCCTTTAAAAGAAAAATATCTTTTAAAAGAAATGTCCACATTACAATAAAAATGCATGAAAAGTTTCTCTTTTTAAAAGGAGCATGTGTAGCCTGGGCAACATAGCAAGACCCTGACTCTTACAAAATTAAACAATTTGCCAGGCGTGGTCGTGTGTGCCCGTGGCCCCAGCTACTTGGGAGGCTGAAATGGGAGGAGGGCTTGAGCCCGGGAGGTCAACGCTGCAGTGAGTTATGATCATGCCATTGCACTGCAGCTTAGGTGACAGAGGGGGACCCTGTCTCCCAAAAAGTGGGGAGCATGTTTTATAACATTAAATAGTGGTCAGCGTGGTTGCACCTTACAGCGTGTGCATGAGGTCACCTCTGTTGTGCACCAAGGCTAATTGTGGGGACTGTTACTCCTTTTCATTTCCACTTACCCTGAAGGGAATTCCTGCTGGACTTGGGATCCCTGTGAGTACAGTTCACCCGGCATCCCAGGGGCCACGTAATACTGAATGTCCCTCTCTCTGGAGCATGAAGATGCCAGACACTGGCTTTCCCTCTACGTTAGTCAAGGATCCGTTCCCTCTTGTCAGCCACGCCCGGCTGCAGGCACAGAGCTGGCCCCAGGGAATGCGGGCTTGGCACCCGGGGAGGCAGATGCTCACGGCCACCTTGGGAGACCCATGGACAGTGTCCATTCCCTCTCCACCTCCACGGGTGGTGCCGACAGCCCGGGCAGCCCCCAGACGCGATGAGGTCAGTGTGGTGAGCCCTGGCATGCGCCTGAGACCACGCTGGTGGCTGGCGTGTCCACGTGAGCATGGGGATGAGAACACTTCAGCAGACAGGGAATGGTCACTCTGGCCACAGAGGGTGTTCAGAACACCAGGGTGATGAGCGGCGAGGCAGGCGGGGGGCGGGGGGCGGGGGGCGGCCTTGCCTCAGCTTGGACCAGGAGCGCTTTCTGACCTTGGGCCTCCGTGTAAGTCCCAAGGAGGTCCTGGGGCAGGGGGAACGTGGGGGAAGGGCGTGACGTGCAAGGCGCCAAACCCACTGACCTCCTCCTCCTCGAAGCCCGTGAGGTCCCAGCGGTAGTTGAGCCGCATCTGTTTCCGCTTCCAGTGCTCCATGAAGGTGGCAGCTGCGGGCAGGGGCAAAACCAGAATCTCCGATGAATAAAGGCATTTTCTTTTTTTTTTTTGAGACAGAGTTTTGCTCTTGTGCCCAGGCTGGAGTGCAATGGCGCGATCTCGGCCCACTGCAACCTCGCCTCCTGGGTTTAAGCAATTCTCCTGCCTGAGTCCCCTGAGTAGCTGGGATTATAGGCATGAGCCACCACACCCAGTTAATGTTTGTATTTTTAGTAGAGACAGGGTTTCACCATGTTGGCCAGGCTGGTCTCAAGCTCCTGACCTCAGGTGATCCGCCTGCCTTGGCCTCCAAAGTGCTGGGATTACAGGCGTGAGCCACCACGCCCAGCCAGGGCATTCTTTTCTTTTTTTATCGGTGTTTGGTGAGCAAGGGTGATGTACTGGGCTGAGAATTTTATCTGAATTCATGTGTTCAGCCCTCCCACCAATCCTGTGGGGCAGGAACGTCATTCTCCCTTTTTACAGATGAGGAAACTGAGGCAAGGGACACTCAAGTCCCAACTGAGGTTACCCAGCTAGTGAGGGATGGGCAGCCTGGTCCCAGAGCCCGTGTCTCAACCATCCTGCCCCATTGCTCTTGGGGAACCCGCTTTGGAGGTCAGGAGGAACGAGGGGTGAGCCCAGGCCACTCACTCACTCGGGCTTCAAACCACCCCAGGAGTCTGCCTGCTGAACTGCACTGGCGGCTGCTGCATTCGGCTTCATATTCCCAACAGACAAAGCATGGTTCAAATGCCGCCTCCTCCAGGAAGCCACTGATCATCCCCCTCAGTGTGAGAAAAACCCAGCTCCTCTCGGGACCTTCTTCAGCCTGCGTCTGTCTTGCCTATGGTGTCAGTGCTGCCTTCCATCAGGATCCCCATCCCATGACTTGTGTGTGGGGCAGGGATGGGGCCTCGTTCCCCTGGGTCCCCAGTTCCCAGAGGTGCCTGGGACAGACAGGTGCTCGAGTAGGCACTGCATGACTGACTTTTGCGAGCACACAGCTTGCAAAAGGAGATGCCCCTGGCCGAAGCGTTTATCCTGATCGCTTCTCCCTACAAAAGAAAATCTGCAGAGGCTGAGCGGCAGAGTAACAGGAAGGCCACAGAGTTCCTCAGAGCTCACGATTCTCGAGCTGTTCCACACCAGGCACTGTTGGGAGCTGGTCGATCTACAGACCTCTCCAGGACAGGGTCCTTGCATTTGTCTGAAGATGCTTAGTACAAATTTTCGGGCAATACTACCGGAGTTCAACACCAGCCACTGAGCTCTGTGACCTTTGGCAAGTTATTTAGCCTCTCTGTGCCTCTGTTTCCTCATCTGTAAAATGGTGCCTTCTAATAATCAGACTTGGAGTATCAGTGAGGAAGCATCAGTGTTATTTAAGCCTCACAGTGATCATAGCAGGTAGGCACTATTCCCATCCTCTCCATTTTACAGAGGGGGAAACTGAGGCTCAGAGGGATCAAATGGCTTATCCGAGAAGCAGCAGCACTGATGTGCAAGTAAAATGGGCTGTGTGACGGTGAACGTGCAGAGTGAATTCACAAACGTGGCCCTTAACTGAAGGCGACGTGTGGCAGGAAAGAACGGAAGTCATGAGTGTGAACCTGTTTCAGAGGACGTGAGTCTATGCATAACACATCCCATTCCCATTAAGGCGAGGTGTGAATGGGGCTTCCCAGCATGCAGCGGTTTGTCTAGGATGGCAACTCTATCAACTGGCCCAGCCTGGAAATAGGACCCCCCTACCCAGGTCTTTCACAGCAGGGTAATGTAATCCTGGGACTTGCTCGCACAGGCAATGGAAAAGCTGAGAAGCCACATGGGGGATGGTGGGACCACCCAGAGATGACCCACAGCAGGAGCTGGCATCCGTTTCAGGATGGCAGGACAGTAGGATGTGCTCAGCGCCCATGCTGGAGCCAGAAATTGGAGCTGCCCAGAAGAAGCTGGGATCACGGAGGAAGCGCTTCCCCGGAGGAAGTCAGAGCCTGGAGAAGACACAGTCATTGCTGGGGATGTCCCAGGAAGTGGAGGGAGATGGGGAGCAATATCTCGGCTGCTCCCTCCCTCCCGCCTTCTGATTTCCCAAAAGGACTTCCCACTGGCTGAACCTACTAGGAAGAGGGAGAGCTAGGGAGCCTGGGGAACGTGGCTTCCCAAGATGCAGAGCTGAGCAGGCGAGGGAACGGCTATCGCTGAAACACCTGCCGGAAACCCAGCCACTCAGCAGACACGCACTGAGTGCCATGGCTGCGGCAGGTGAGGGGGGCCACGGGGGCCCAGGAGGAGGCCCCCAACCCCCGGGGGCCCCTGACTCTCAGGAGGCAGACGGTGGGAGTGGCCTGTCTGCGGTGGGCACCCTCCCCAGGAGGCAATGCGGGGAGGTCTCTGCCTCTTTGAAGATGTCCTTTGGCCCCTGCAGCTGCTGTGGAGCGGTGGAGGAGGACAGCTGTTTCCCGGTCTCTGCCTGGTCTGCAAGGCCCCCAGCCGCTCCTCCACTGGGCTGTGAAAGCTGCCTCTCTCTGTCCTCCTCTGCCCACCCAGGGTAACAACGCCCTTTTACGACGCTTTTTTGGGGCTGAGCACTGCCCAGGAGGGCTGGCTCCACGTACACCTGCAGAATTGGCCTGTTTACCTGCCACGATGGTTAGTACTGAGTGTCAACTTGATGGGATGGAAGGATGCAAAGTATTGTTTCTGGGTGTGTCTGTGAGGGTGTTGCTAGAGGAGATTAACGTTTGAGTCAGTGTCAGGGGGAGAGGCAGACCCACCCTTAACCTGGGTGGGCACCATCCCCTCTGCTGCCAGCACGGCTAGAAAAAGCAGGCAGGAGAACGTGGAAGCGCAGACTCACTCAGTCTTCCGGCCTTCATCTTTCTCCCGTGCTGGATGCTTCCTGCCCTGGAACATCAGACTCCGAGTTCTTCAGCTTTTGGACTCTTGGACTTACAACAGCGGTTTGTCAGGGGCTCTCAGGCCTTTGGCCACAGACCGAAGGCTGCACTGCCGGCTTTCCTACTTTCGAGGGTTTGGGACTCAGACTGATCCACTGCTGGCTTCCCTTCTCCTCTACTTGCAGACGGCCTATTGTGAGGCTTGACCTTGTGATCGTGTGAGTCGTCGATTCTCCTGAATCAACTCCCTTTCATGCGTACAATATCCTGTTAGTTCTGTCCTTCCAGAGAACCGTGACTCATGCACCTTCCCTGTCCCGGCCTCCCCAGCTCCTCCTCTTTCCCGGACTTGGCCTCCGTTATGACACTCACCCCACTGCCGCCCCGGCTCGCCCTCTCTGCACTCGCCAGCTTGCAGCGTATCAACAGTCACCAGTTAATGAGGACGTATCCGTGCACTCACATTTTACAGACATCAGTTAATCTCATCTTCATAATGACCACAGGCAGGCAGGATGATTCCCATTCACAGACTGACAAAGTGGAAACCATTTACAAAACTGAGATTCAGAGTGCTGTGTCCAGGGTCAGCTGCAGGGGAGCAGCAGCCATTGCATTTGAACCTCATTCTCTCGGACTCGAGTCTTCGGAACCACGATACTGGAGCAACTCTCTGTGCAGATATTTAACTTTCCTTAAGGAAACAATAGCTGTAGTTGCCACAAGTCTGATTATTAAAGTGTACCATCTATGGATGAGGAAATGGAGGCACAGAGAGGTTAACCAACTTGCCTAAGGTCACAGAGCTTGGTAGCTGGTATTGAACCCTGGTATTCTTTTTTTTTTTTTTGAGATGGAGTCTCTGTCTGTCGCTCAGGCTGGAGTGCAGTGGTGTGATCTCAGCTCACTGCAACTTCCGCCTCCTGAGTTCAAGTACTTCTCCTGCCTCAGCCTCCCAAGTAGCTGGGACTACAGGTGCATGCCACCACGCCTGGCTAATTTTTGTATTTTTAGTAGAGACAAGGTTTCACCATGTTGGCCAGGCTGATCTTGAACTCCTGGCCTCAAATGATCTGCCTGCCTTGGCCTCCCAAAGTGCTGGGATTACAGTTGTGAGCCACCGCACCTGGTATTGAACCATGGTATTCTTGCTCTAAAATTTGTACTGTGTCTTCAGACAGAAGCAGAGGCCCTGTCCTGGAGTTGTCTTGTCTGTAGATTGACCAGGACCCAGACTGGAGCCTAGAATGTAACCTGGTGGCTGGGGGTGGGGTGGAGGGTGGAGATGATACAAAGACGTGGCTTGTTTGGCTCAGACACGTTTAAAAAATATAGACATTTGACATAAAAATTATGCCTTTCCTGCTTCTCCTTTAAAAGCCAGAAGCATTGGCAGCAGAAGGCTGCGGCTGAGCAATGATCATTCCTTTGTCAAAACTTGGGTATGCGTTTCCACTTGGCCACAGACCCCACCATGCCCTATTGTCTGGCTTTTGTGGGCACTGAGTGTCGGGGTGGAGCTGTAGAGTCTAGGCTTCGCCCGCAGGAAAGGAGATGTGAAGACTCGTGCTGCACCTGGTGGCCGGTCCTCAAAGCTGGTATTGTGAGCAGTATGAAGAACCACCTTCTAGCGGGGTGAGCGAAGGCAGCAGGGACCCTGAGCACCCTCTTCTGCAAGCAATTCTCCTGCTCCCGAGTCCTCCCTCCTCACCCACACGAGTTCCGATTCCTGCCCTCTGAGGCCCCCAATCCTGGTCCTCCTTGCCAATGTGCCAACCACCTCATACAAATGTTGTATACTACCTAGCTGCCGCCAGGCGCTGGGCACGGTGCTTTCCCATGCCTGATCCCCTCGGATCCTGCCCCGGCCCCCTCCACGCAGGGATGACGCGCTCCATTTTATAGACACATAGATGAGGTTCTGAGACGTCAGGGGACTCATCAAGTAAGGGCAGAAACCTGGACCCAGGCCTCAGATCAACTGGTATCAGGGACGGGGCTTCCCACCCACGAGTGTACAATGAAGAAACGGCCTTGAGTGCGGCAGCCTTACAAGGTGGTCAAAGGGACAAGCCCATCCCCCTGAAATCTGGAGCCCAGGAGTCACC